ATCACTGTTACAATAAGAAACTGTATAAATTATTGAAGAACCAGGTAGGTAAGAATAAAAATATAAAAACGATATAAAAATATATTTACCTTAAATATTTGTTGATAGTTGCAGCAAAGATATTCTAAGAGACTTTCGACGTTTACTCATTCAAAGGACAAAGGAGAACTGATCCGGTAATCGTCTAAAACAATAAAAATATAGTATATATTAATAAAAAGAAGAGGCCAACTATCTCGAGATTAAAATTTTTAAGTATTGGAAATTAAGATTAAAATTATTTTAAGTTTCTCGCGCGTTCTGAACTTCGTAATGTTTAAACCAATGTAATATTGTTTAAATATTAGTTTATTGTACTCAGTGTACGTAAAATATTGTTTAATTAATTGAAAAGTTATTGAAAGTATTAATTTGGAATGTTTCGCGTTTAGAAATAGAGATTATTGATGTGCACTGGTCGGAGTGCAAAAGAAAACTAACTCGCGAACCGTCAAAGTTAATCGAAGGATCGTTTATGTTTATAATGCACAAGGCCAACAGCCGCGAGATCAAATTTTTAAGTATTGGAATTTTATTTTAAAATTATTTTTAGTTTATCACGCGTTCTGAACTTCGTAATGTTTAAACGAATGTAATTTTGTTTAAATATTAGTTTATTGTACTCCGTGTACGTTAAAAATCGTTTATGTTATTAAAAAATTATCGAAAGTATTAATGTATAAGTTTTCGCGATTAGAAATAGAGAGTATCGATGTTCACGGGTCGAAGTGCAAAAGAATACTAACTCGCGAATTGTCAAAGTTAATAGAAGGCGTTTATGTTTATATTACACGAGGCCAACTATCCCGGGATTAAAATTTTTAAGTATTGGAAATTAATATTAAAATTATTTTAAGTTTCTCGCGCGTTCTGAACTTCGTAATGTTTAAACGAATGTAATTTTGTTTAAATATTAGTTTATTGTACTCCTTGTACGTAAAAGATGGTTTAAATAATTAAAAAATTATCGAAAGTATTAATGTATAAGTTTTCGCGTTTAGGAAGGGAGTATCGATATGTACTGGTCGAAGTGCAAAAGAATACTAACTCGATAATTGTCAAAGTTAACAGAAGGACCGTTTATGTTTATATTACGCAAGGCCAACTATCCCGAGATTAAAATTTTGAAGTATTGGAAATTAATATTAAAATTATTTTAAGTCTCTCACGCGTTTTGAACTTCGTTATGTTTAATCAAATGTAATATTGTTTAAATATTAGTTCATTGTACTCCGTGTACGTAAAAGATTGTTCAAATAATTAGAAAATTATCGAAAGTATTAATGTATAAGTTTTCCCGATTAGAAATAGAGATTATTGATGTGCACTGGTCGGAGTGCAAAAGAAAACTAACTCGCGAACCGTCAAAGTTAATCGAAGGATCGTTTATGTTTATAATGCACAAGGCCAACAGCCGCGAGATCAAATTTTTAAGTATTGGAATTTTATTTTAAAATTATTTTTAGTTTATCACGCGTTCTGAACTTCGTAATGTTTAATCAAATGTAATATTGTTTAAATATTAGTTCATTGTACTCCGTGTACGTAAAAGATTGTTCAAATAATTAGAAAATTATCGAAAGTATTAATGTATAAGTTTTCCCGATTAGAAATAGAGATTATTGATGTGCACTGGTCGGAGTGCAAAAGAAAACTAACTCGCGAACCGTCAAAGTTAATCGAAGGATCGTTTATGTTTATAATGCACAAGGCCAACAACCGCGAGATCAAATTTTTAAGTATTGGAATTTTATTTTAAAATTATTTTTAGTTTTTCACGCGTCCCCGTCTTTTTAATGTTTAAACGAATAAACTATTATTTAAATATTACTATATTGTATTACGTGTACATTAAATATTGTTTAAATAATTGAAAAATTATCGAAATTATTAATTAATAAGTTTTCCCGATTAGAAATAGAGATTATTGATGTGCACTGGTCGGAATGCAAAAGAAAACTAACTCGCGAACCGTCAAAGTTAATCGAAGGATCGTTTATGTTTATAATGCACAAGGCCAACAACCGCGAGATCAAATTTTTAAGTATTGGAATTTTATTTTAAAATTATTTTTAGTTTATCACGCGTCCCCGTCTTTTTAATGTTTAAACGAATAAACTATTATTTAAATATTACTATATTGTACTACGTGTACATTAAATATTGTTTAAATAATTGAAAAATTATCGAAATTATTAATTAATAAGTTTTCCCGATTAGAAATAGAGAGAATCGATGTTCACGGGTCGAAGTACAAAAGAATACTAACTCGCGAATTGTCAAAGTTAATAGAAGGCGTTTATGTTTATATTACACGAGGCCAACTATCCCGGGATTAAAATTTTGAAGTATTGGAAATTAATATTAAAATTATTTTAAGTTTCTCGCGCGTTCTAAACTTCGTAATGTTTAAACCAATGTAGTATTGTTTAAATATTAGTTTATTGTACTCAGTGTACGTAAAATATTGTTTAATTAATTGAAAAGTTATCGAAAGTATTAATTTGGAATGTTTCGCGTTTAGAAATAGAGATTATTGATGTGCACTGGTCGGAATGCAAAAGAAAACTAACTCGCGAACCGTCAAAGTTAATCGAAGGATCGTTTATGTTTATAATGCACAAGGCCAACAACCGCGAGATCAAATTTTTAAGTATTGGAATTTTATTTTAAAATTATTTTTAGTTTATCACGCGTCCCCGTCTTTTTAATGTTTAAACGAATAAACTATTATTTAAATATTACTATATTGTACTACGTGTACATTAAATATTGTTTAAATAATTGAAAAATTATCGAAATTATTAATTAATAAGTTTTCCCGATTAGAAATAGAGATTATTGATGTGTACTGGTCGAAGTTCAAAAGGAAACTAACTCGATAATTGTCAAAGTTAACAGAAGGACCGTTTATGTTTATATTACGCAAGGCCAACTATCCCGAGATTAAAATTTTGAAGTATTGGAAATTAATATTAAAATTATTTTAAGTTTCTCGCGCGTTCTAAACTTCGTAATGTTTAAACCAATGTAGTATTGTTTAAATATTAGTTTATTGTACTCAGTGTACGTAAAATATTGTTTAATTAATTGAAAAGTTATCGAAAGTATTAATTTGGAATGTTTCGCGTTTAGAAATAGAGATTATTGATGTGCACTGGTCGGAGTGCAAAAGAATACTAACTCCCGAAACGTCAAAGTTAATAGAAGGACCGCTTATGTTTATATTTTGCAAGGCCAACAATCACGAGCGAATAATTTTAGTGTATAGACGTTTTTAAATTGATGCTATTTTAAGTTCTCGCGCATTACGATCTTAGTAATGTTTAAAAAATGTACTGTTGTTTAAATATTAGCTTATTGTACGTCATGTATATTAAAAATTGTTTAATTAATTGAAAAGTTATCGAAAGTAATAATTTATAAGTTTTTGCGATTAGAAATAGAGAGTATCGATGTTCACGGGTCGAAGTGCAAAAGAATACTAACTCGATAATTGTCAAAGTTAATAGAAGGACCGTTTATGTTTATATTGCACAAGGCCAACAACCCCGAGATTACAATTTTGAAGTATCCGTATTTTATTTTAAAATTATTTTTATTTTCTCGAGCGTTTCCGTCGTTTTAATGTTTAAACAAATGTACTCTTGCTTAAATATAATATTATTTTATACAGCGTACGTTAAATAATTATAAAATTATCGAAAGTAATAATTTATAAGTTTCCGCGATTAGAAATAGAGAGTATCGATGTTCACGGGTCGAAGTGCAAAAGAATACTAACTCGATAATTGTCAAAGTTAACAGAAGGACCGTTTATGTTTATATTACGCAAGGCCAACAACCCCGAGATTACAATTTTGAAGTATCCGTATTTTATTTTAAAATTATTTTTATTTTCTCGAGGGTTTCCGTCGTTTTAATGTTTAAACAAATGTACTCTTGCTTAAATATAATATTATTTTATACAGCGTACGTTAAATAATTATAAAATTATCGAAAGTAATAATTTATAAGTTTCCGCGATTAGAAATAGAGAGTATCGATGTTCACGGGTCGAAGTGCAAAAGAATACTAACTCGATAATTGTCAAAGTTAATAGAAAGACCGTTTATGTTTATATTGCACAAGGCCAACAACGCCGAGATTACAATTTTGAAGTATCCGTATTTTATTTTAAAATTATTTTTATTTTCTCGAGGGTTTCCGTCGTCTTAATGTTTAAACAAATGTACTCTTGCTTAAATATAATATTATTTTATACAGCGTACGTTAAATAATTATAAAATTATCGAAAGTAATAATTTATAAGTTTTTGCGATTAGAAATAGAGTATCGATGTTCACAGGTCGAAGTGCAAAAGAATACTAACTCCCGAATCGTCAAAGTTAATAGAAGGACCGTTTATGTTTATATTTTGCTAGGCCAACAATCGCGAGCAAATAATGTTAAAGTATAGACGTTTCATATTAAAATTATATTAATATTCTCGCCCGTCACTGTCTTCGTAAAGTTTAAAAAAATGTACTATTGTTTAAATATTAAGTTATTGTTCTTCGTGTACATTGTTAACATTATTATAATATCATTGATAGTATAAATTATTTCAAGTTAGTCGTATGGAGAGATAGAATTTCGTTATTTATTGATATAGAAATGGAAAAGAAAACTGGTTTAATTATTGTTAAAGTCAGTATAAAGTGCAACAATTCCGAGTTCGTAAGGTAAACATATTGAAATATTAATATAAGATTATTTTATATTTAATATCTGTAGTAGTAGTAGTGATAATAATAATAATAATAATAATATAAGCTGTATTACTACATGGGTAAAACAGAAAAAGAAAAAACGCGCGAGAAATTCTATCTCATTGATAATCAAACTCATGTATCGATTTTTATAAAAATAATACGTAATGTATACGTACAAAACGTATGAATTAATTGACTATATCAATATTCATTGATACAATAAATAATAAACTGATTGAATTTGATTATTAGAGATTGTACTTTGACGCTAGTAGTGTACAACGGTTCATATAAAGTATATATATATATAATGAGAGTATACAAATGGATGAGAATGAATGAAAGAAGCGAACAAACGTAAGCATCATCGAACATAACCTCAACATTTATACGATTGGTTAACTGTTTACAGCGTTTACGAAGATGAAATAATTTTTGAACGTAAATTTATATTTTTGTATGTATCAAATTTTACTTTTATCAAAATGAGATACGCGCAACTTGTTATGGGACCTGCCGGTAGTGGAAAGGTAATTTGTTAATTATTATTTCTTATTAATTGTCCAAAAATTAATAATACAGTTTCTATATGTCTGTACTTGAAAAAAAAAGGTTAAATAACCTGAAATAATTTAGAAATTACTATGTAAAATCGATCAATTTATTAATAATTCATTGAGCTAATGTAAAATGTATTTTCTTAGTCTACGTATTGTTCTACCATGCAACAGCATGCAGCGGATGAGAGGAAAATGATTGAAGTAGTCAATTTGGATCCTGCAGCAGAATATTTTGAGTACGAACCACTTATTGACATAAGAGAATTGATTCAATTAGATGATGCCATGGAGGATGACGAATTAAAATTTGGCCCTAATGGTGGTCTTGTCTTTTGTATGGAGTAAGTTATATGGAAATTGTATTAATTATATTTATAATAGGATTATTTATATAGAATACTTTTCTTCTTTTTTTCTGTTTTCTTTTTTGTTTTTTTTTTGTTTTTTCCTTATAGATACTTAGTCGAAAATTCAACATGGCTAGAAGAAAAATTAGGCGACGCAGATGACGATTATATTATTTTTGATTGTCCCGGTCAAATTGAGCTTTATACGCATATGACAGTTATGCGTCAGTTAATAACAATATTACAAAACATGAACTTTCGTATATGTGGAATATTTATAGTGGACAGTCAATTTATGGTCGATGGGTCAAAATTTTTATCAGGCACCATGGCAGCTTTAAGCGTTATGATCAATCTAGAAATACCACATGTTAATATATTAAGTAAAATGGATTTATTGTCAAAGAGCGCAAAAAAACAATTGGATAAATATTTGGAACCTGATCCACATAGTTTATTATCTAATATGGAAAATGATCCATGGGATGAAAAATACCGAAATCTCACAGAAGCCGTAGGTAGACTCATTGAAGATTATAGTTTAGTTCGTTTTTATCCTCTGAATATTAAAGATGAAGAAAGTATCGCCGATATAAAATTAACAATCGATAATATTATTCAATATGGAGAAGATGCAGATGTAAAAATTAGGGATTTTGATGAATCTTGTAACGATGATGACGATGACGATGATGCAAATGACACGAATTATGGTTGAGAAAATCCTACATGATGTATATTTTAATAAAATGTTTTCTTAACGTTTTTATGTTTTAATGCTCCTTATCACAGGTTATAAAGTCTTAAATAATATAATAAAAAAGATCATTTGTTAACTTACTTATTGACTTAAAAAATTCTATGCACAAAGTACACAGTATTTACACAATATTAAATTTCAATAATCTGATTGTGAGCTTATTGTATTAAATATAAATGTAAAACATCCAAAGCTTAGAATAGACCCATGAGCAATAATCGCACTTCCTTCCCAACCTTCTTCTAAATAATTACTTTTTCTTACTTCTTGATATTTCGTGGTGCACTTACATAAACCTTTTTTACTTTCGTTTTGAGAAGAAGGAGGAGGATTTTCTTTATATATAATTGCTTTCAACATCTCAGATGTTTCCTGTTCTTTACTTATAATTTTACTATAATCACTATCTTCTTTATTATCACCTTCTAATTTTTCTGCATAATTACAAGAATATAATACGTTATCGACGATTGTTCCATATTCACTGTAATTAAGTAATTCGTAACGATTTGTTGCCTGAAACAAATAGGATAAATGACCACATAATAGGTTTCATCGATTCTACGATTTCATATATTGAATAATATAACGGTCATAGAAAAATATTATTTACCTCGTCGAAAAATATAATGGCATGTTTCGATGATATAAAACTGCAATTGCCATAACTAGATAGAATTAAATCGCAATTTGGTCCATTTCCAATAATCATTGTCTTATGTATCATAAAGACAGGTGGTTTTGGTATCTCGCTTAAAGAAAAAAGTGCAGCTCGAGCTTTTACCTGACAATTTATTTCATTATAATTTTCTCCTTCTGGATTTAATATTTGTTCCAATCTTTGACGTGCCAATGCCTCTAATACCGGTCTTTCTAATAACTGTACTCCTTCTTTCACACTGTATGTAAACTGATTTGCATGCGTTATATTATTTTGTTTTTCGTTGATATCATTTCGTTCGAGCAATTCTGTTTTGTTGATACATTTCACTTCGTCGCTTTCTTTCTTATTGTATTTTCCCTCTATTAGATTATTCTTGCAGGATAAATTATCAATTTCCATTTGTGTATCTAATTCCTTATCATCCGTGTAATTACTCTTTTTCAATGTATCTACATTATTTATTATTGTAATTTCTTTTTCTTCATCCTGTTGCTCATTTTCTATTTTAATTGTCGATCTTATAGAAGTTTCTTGATTAAAGTGACTAAGATCCAAATGAGATGGATTTTCATAATGGTATTTAACTGAAGGAGGAACTTTAACCCGCATACGTCCTTCCAATTTTACTTTTGTGCGAAATAATGGATTGGCAGTACTTGCTTTACGCAAAAAATCAAGTTTCACAGCATGCTGATCTATCCTTTGATTAGCATATTTATCCCAAAGCTTGATACGTTCTGTAACTCTACACGAAGTTAAAAGATTTTGATCTATAAAATGATTTGGATGATTAGGACACATCCATCTTCCAATAGGAAAGGCAGTTAGTGGAGGATCCAAACAATCCTGATGAAAATAGAGTGGGCAATAATCGCAAGCAATTAATGGTGCTTTCCTGCAACTACGTCCACACTCAAAGCACAAACGAGCCGGTAATGGCACCATCAGATTATTATCCAAGCAATGACTTTTCCCTACTAATATAAAAAATATTCATTTAGATATTTTATAATAACAATATAAAAATATGAACAATTTTATTAACAATGGAAAAGCAACTATTACCATTGCTGTTTGATGAACTTTGTTGCTTTCCTCTTCTACCAGATACATAATCTACTTTATTACTTCCAGGAAATATTATTGGCAACTGTAACTCTTTTGGAAGCTCAAATTCGCGAGGATTAACTAAAGAAGCTGCTAAAGCTAATATTTCTAATGCAGACTTTTTCTTCTTTTTATCAATCCCTTTATTCCCTAAAATTTCTCTTTTCGTTGCACACCGACAGGCATAACACAGCCATTCGCCATTAGGTATATCTGTTGGATCCACTGGTGGATAACTACATGAAAAAAAAAAAAAAAGAAAAAAAAAATTATACATAGATAATTTAAGATTTCTTAACAACTTCATAGAAAGGACATAAATTATTATTTTCACTCAGTAATGCGGAATCAATTTCTCAAATGTTTATTGCAAATACATGTCTGAGATTTTTTTTTTATATTATCATGTCTCTTTACAAAGCATGCTCTCCCTTCAATAATTTATAATGAATTTAAAGCGTAAATACATGATTTAAATACATATATACAATTAAGTGAATCAAAGACCTATTATTTATCATTGACTCACTGGCATTGTAAGTGGTACGAGGCAGGACATTTGTCGCAACATATAAGTTCACCTCCATCTCTACATGCATCGCAAAAATCATGATTATGGCCACGTCCTCGTCTTTTAAAATAAGGATGTTTCTTTTCTTCCTTTTCCTTTTTAGATTTTGCTGACTTGGAATCTTCTGATACTGGAGGAGCTATAAGCGCCTGAATTTGCTAGAAGGAAAAATTTAATATATTAAGAAAGTAAGGAAAATATATGTTCGAAGAAACATAGTGTTAATGTCTAATTGTTCAAATCATTAACATTTTTTAATAAATTAATATTTACTTACGGGCATTAATCCTCCAATCATAGGAAAACCATACTCAACGGTACCCATTTTAATTTAATTTATATCTATTTCAACCGTACTATTTTTTTTTTTACTTTCTATTTCATTCCATCATTATAAGATAAATATTGTCTTTGTAAGGTATATGTCCTCCATAACTAAGCACCATTCTTCAGCGCGCTTCAGCGCTGAAACATTTGCTGAGAATATTGGGTAAGTTTAAATCATGGAATAGTTATATCCATGATATATGCAGTTACATGATCGACTTTCAACGCGGTAAAATTGAAATGTACTTTTCGTCAGAAAGAAGTGTCGAGAAAAGTAATTAAAAAGAACATAATAATTTTCAACTAGAAGTGTCTCATACGTTTATTTTTCTTTTATATTAATATTATTAATTGAATTAGATTACGTATATATCAATAATCTAATTTCGATATTGACTATCGATTCTTGAAATTCAAATCGATCTTCAAAACAAAGCTACGCATACCAGTTCTATGTATACGTAACATATATATATATATATATAGAATGTTAGTCCGCTATAAATTATTGAACTTCTAAGTTGTTATGACTTGTAAATAATAATTTACAGTATTAAACATAATTAAAAGAAAAAAAAATAGAAAAACGATTATGTTTATCAAAAATCTACACCTGTGTTTAATTAATTCCATATTCAAGAGAGAAATACACGACAATGTTAGTTTAATAGACAATTGTATCGAGGTTAGAAATCGGAATCCACGAAATTTGGAACGTTTACTAATAGCTAGGAAGCCTCAAGGATATCATCTCGAAAAACAATTTCGTAATTTCTGGCATAAGTACGTTATTCACGTCTAGAAAATTTCACAAATATAATTAAAATATTATAGGTTAGGTGATCGTCTGATGATAGAAATTATATTTTTCTTCTGAAAATTTTTCATGTTTATACAGATTAGAAATTTTACCATCCCAACGTCATGTAACCGTCAGAATAGTACATTTTAAAAATGGTCCTGTTATCACTGCATCGAGTAATGAATGGGCACTTAAGAAACTATTGTACAGGTTAGTAACTCTAAAGTATGATATATTTATATTAATGAAATGAAAAATTGTTCATATTCTCTGATTTATGTAGTAATATAATTTCAAGAGATTAAATGTCATTTAAATATTTTAGAAAATATGATAGTATGGCATATGTTGCCTTGGGACAAGTGCTGGCACAGCGCTGTTTAGAAAGTGGAATATGTGAAATTTATCACAATGAAAGTATCACTAATAAAGTATCATTATTATTAAAAGAATTAGAAAAGAACAACATTATTCTTCATGAATCCGATAGGTATATTCATCCATTCCCTTGGAGTTTATTCAGACCAGAAAAACCTTGGGAAACTCATGAGTAATACAAATGTACAATTGAAGTTAGTATTTTTTTTTCTTTTTTTAATAAAATATTTCAAGGGAGTGTCATAAAAAGAAAAGTTGTTCAATGTAATTACAACATACTTGGATAAAAAAGAAAAGAAACAATTTTATTAATTGTAATGTAGTAATATAATGAATTAAAAATATATATTTAGTTATTTTTATTTCAAAAACTTTGTAGCTTAATATACATAAGAAAAGTATATAAGAATTTATATGATACGAATTTGAGATGTCTGAAAATAATAAATTATTCTAGATTGATTGTTTATCATTTTATTATGTAATAATAAAAACAAGTCCGTTTTTAACCGTTAGATACTGGAGATAATATCCAATCTTATCTTCATTGGAAAACTATGTCATTTTTGATGAGTCTGCGACCATAGAACATTGCAGTGGAACATTTTGTAGGAACTCTGAAACCTTAGTAACAAATAGAATAAAATAGAATAATTAAATATATAAATATTAATTCAAGATTTTATTAAATTTCAAATGTATTCGTTTTTGTAAATTTTAAGTTAGTTTTTCTTACAGCACAAAGTGAAATATATTTTAATAAGTTTCTAAAATTTTTAAGATTTATATTATTGAACAAGCATAAATATAAAGATGCGTTTATAGATTACTTAAGTCATTTCTTTATTACAATGTCTAATTATTCATAAGTGACAATAAATAAATTTTTATAGTACGAGTCTTTGAAATTGTGTAGTATTTAGAAAGTGAAATACTTTAAATAATTATCATCATATTGATAATTATATAGATGATATATATGATGAATGTAATTCAAAAATACAGTTGTGCAGTAAAAGGCCTTTGTTCATATAAGTTTCCAATAGGCCATATGATATATCGATACTACTGCATCTACAAAAAGTACTCCTCTATTTTTAATAACATATATGAAAAATCAATTATTTAAATAAAAGTATGATATATGTATGATCGTTAAATTATTATCTTATCAAATTAATTACACTTCTAAATTATGATTACATTTATAAATTTCTAGTATACATCTAAAATTTGTACGATTATCCTAAAATTTTTATCAAAATATACATCGTCAGTAGGGTGTTAAATTTAATTTAATCTTCTTTCCAAAAATTCCCATGGTTATCGTCAACGTAATAAATGTACGTCGTAATGGAAAAAATATAACGATAGAAAAATGTTTAATTTAAAATATTAAATACAAATGGATGGTATGTAGATGATCACGTTGAATCGAACACCCTACATACTGAATAGATTTTTTTCGTTACTCGATAGCTTCATGGTATAAAACTTGGATTCCAAGTAGTATTAACTTTAAAAGTATATTTTATATAATGACACACGTGCAAATTTATTTGCAGGTATGAATATCAATGTTTTTAACACATGTTTTACATTCAACGAAGCAACACCAATGGAATTTACAATCGCATCTTTCCCTTATCGTTGACTTTTGAGTATTGTAACCCCTTCCACAACAGAGAAGATTACATCCATCCATACCGGACGATGTTCTGTTACAAATTCGTCCATGCGTACCTAACAACGCGACGTAAGATGAGATATTATTATTAACGGCAAATTATTTCATAAATATATATATATATTTATATATAAAATATATTTATATATATAAAAATTATTTCATAAATATATATATATATATATATATATATATATATATATATATATATATTACCTAAAGAGCCAAGAGTATCATTTGGAAGGCAATAATTTGGTGAGTCATCCAAATAAACTAAATCATTGGCTGTGGGCAAAGAAAATCTTGGATCTCGCATGGATAATCTTCCACGCCTGTTTACTCGGACTTCAGTTGCACCATCGTATTTGTCCAATAAAAGATCACCTATGGAACAAATCGAATTATCGATGAAATCCTTTGTTTTGTTATTTTTGTCAATATTTGTCAATTTGCAAGAGAAATTTGTAGAAAAAAAGGAAAAAAAAAAAAAGGACATACCAACTTCTCGAAACGACGCAAGTTGCTGCCAACAGGTGATTAAGCTGCAACTGCCAGATACCCCATGGCATTTGCATGTCACTTTAGATCTTTTTATAACGGCCTGTTAAGAAACAACATCTTAACATTAATTTCTCGTTCGTCTATATTAAAATCGTCGAAAATAAAGGACGATAGATACCCTACGTCCTGCTTCGTTGTTATGCAAATTCATTAGGCTTCTTCCTTGCTCTCTACTACCTCTTTTGAAGCTACGCTCGCGTTCTCTTACGTCGACGAATGCTTGGGTGAATCTGTAAGATCGCATTAAAAATACATGCACACACACACACGCATATATATTGCATAAAGAAAATGCATGGAGCATAACAACTCGTTTACTATTTCACTCACTTATATCCATATTCGAGATTATCGCCGCATCCACCCCAAATCCATTCGCGATTAAGATCTCTTGGTCTGCTACTCCTCGAACAACCGCACGATGATAATTGTCCGTCCCTACAAGCTCGACTTATGGAATAAACAACTCCCGCGGCTGTGATAGCATGTACAAATGCAGTTTCTCTGCTCGCTGCAATGTAAATTACGATCAATAAATAACAGACATGATTTTACCATTACTACCGTTTTACAATCTTAGATATTAGAGGTGACAGATAATAGGCACACCTATTTTAAGGATCGGCCCAAAAACAGTTTCATCATTGACGGTAGAACAGTTCCATCTTCTATCTCGAAACTGATGCTGGCACTCGAGGACTCCGAATTTGGCGCCCTTCGCCACGCTCGGCATATGATCCACGGATAATTGGCAAAGCTTCCCCTGTCCCTGAGAGAGACCCTTCAGACCGATGCAAATCGTCGAGGCTTCTACGTCGTAACTTTCCATCAGCTGAGCCGTCTCCAATTGTGGAAAGTGCTGCACACCCATGTTTCTAAAATCACCGATGATATGACATTTTTAAATGAATGAGCCAAAGCTTTTTCTTTTCTCTCTCTCTCTCTCTCTCTCTCTCTCTCTCTCTCTCTCTTTCTCTTCTTTTTTCTTCTTCCTCGTAAATGGATAATAAAAAGATAAAAAAAGATATTATAGCGAAGTAGAGATCTTGGATTCTCTTTCTGAGAAATATTGGGAGAAAGGGAATTCTTAAAGGATTTAACGAGAAAAAAGGGTAATTTTCTTTCTATCCAGCGTTCGCAGACATTCCGTTATCCCCACTTACAATCATGGCGTATACCTTACTACACAGAGATATAGTTTTACTCACGATAACCATAGTAAGCTGACTTTCGAATAAAAATGCAAAGACATTTTTCTTAAGTATTACTTCGTAAAGCAATAGTTAGAGATAGGCAGTCGAATGCACGTGGTTTACGAAGCGGCCCTATCGTGAACGAGCTAGGCCCCTCCTTAACGCCTAGAAGAGATTTGTTACGCCGATTATATAAATTCGGTGCAGGCAGTTCGTGGGCGAGGAACGGCCCTCGGATTTCCTCCACGGCTATTCTTAATGGCGCATTTGTGAGTCAACGGACCGAGTTGATGGAACGACGCCGTCAAAGACAGAAGTCAAGGGGAGGTTACAGGCTGGGACGAGCTAATCTGTAATTCGAGATGGCCGTTCATGCGATCTCTTGAATAGAGTCTACGTGCGTCCACTATCGTGCGTAATAGCGTGCATCGTACTGATTAGAATCGCGTCAATGATTTCTCCCCCTGTGTTACGATGACGACGACGACGACGACGACGACGACGATCAGATATTATCTTAAACAAAAATTATTTTCAACGAGCCGGCAAAATTAATTAAGGGCAGATTAAACGAAGCTTTAAAACGTAACGTTAAGGTCACTAAGAGTTATCTCGGCCGACGTATACATATCGATTTTTTACTATAATAAGGAGAAGCCGCTCGTTATGTTTCTTTATAAATAGATATAACTATTTGTCGAGAAAATTAACGATAATAGAGGTTCGCGAGCGTAGGAGATAACGGTGATGCACTCAAAAGGAATTTCTTTAAGGAGGAACAAAATCCCCGAATTGATGTCACCAATATTCTTTTTTGCTGGATGACGCTCACCGTGAGATTCCACGGATTTCTTTTGAATTCGACTTGCAACCCTGGAGAGGTAGAATCTAGGGAGTACATAATAGAGCACATTAATATTCTAGAATGAACTTCAGCCGCGATATATCATCGGCTTTGCACTCCCCTCTGTAAAACAATGACACGAGCGGGGAAATGGGCAGAAGGGAACGATAATATTTCGAAGGATTCGGCCCACGCAGCAGCACGAGAGCCCACCACCACATCAGCATCACTAACCACGCTGGGATTCTCTCGTGGGTTGCACTGGCCCCTGGTCCCGAAAAAAAGTAATGTCTTGTGTCTCTTAAAAGATTGTACCGACGTTCGAATATAAGCGCGAGCTCCTATACCGTCGTCCTTTCGACGTTAAATATCGAGCCTCTCGCTCAACGAGGATCATCCGATTTATTATGTTCCCAGTTCGACTTTTATCTCCTTTGCATATTTCTTATTGCGTAGATTAGAGAAGATTAATGGACGTTAGCGTGCGAATTTCAATTTCGAACACTTAACCATGTAGAACTCAATAATACGTTCTTTTTCAAATGATCAAATTCACAGTCTTGTCTTGATACGAGCGACGAATTTCTTTTTTCTTCTTTTTAACGAAACAAGAAAAATGAAAAGAAAAAAGAACGAAACGATAACATTCCCTCTTCCTCTCTCCTTTCTTGAGCTTCCCTCACACGTTAAACCCTTAAATTAATGCATTAAATAAAATAACGTGATAGGAGTAATATAGGCTGTCCCGTGACCGTTCGACGTGCTGCCTCTTTTTATTTATTTATTTTTTTTTTTCTTTTTTTTTTTAATTCTTTTCCTTTTTTACGTGGGCCGACATGGAACGCTCGACGGGCCACTTTTTTAATCGGCGCTTCGCAATATCAGTAAGATTCGTGTGAAACGCTATTTACGAGGGTTTATGCTGCGATTCGAATCAGGACAGTTCACGCAGGGAACATGGCACCCGCGAAATATTTATCTGCTCCCGTGGAATCTAATCTCGGAACGTTGTTGGCCGTTGACCTAAAAGGATGTAAACCGTAGATACAAGATTAGCAATTTCTGAACTACAACACAAAGGTTATCATGCGACTCCTATCTAATATCAAACGAACGTTAAGACGAGTATCTAAGCGATAATCACAATTGGTTACGGATAAAGATATCGATGATTTCTTTAATCATTTTTTTTCTTTTTATATATATATATATATATATATATATATATATATACTTTTCGAAAGAACATTCTTATTAGAGAAAAATAAATTTTTGATAATATACAATCGAGATCTATACTATTTGTTTATTGTAATACCAAAATGACTTCTAATCCTTGGATGAAACTTGGATTAACTCTATATAGGGCATATCATTGCACAAGTAATTGGACGATAAGGTCAAGATTTAGATAAAAAAAAAAAAGCTGGTCTCCTTGAGGCATTGTGTTCGTGTCTTAATTCTTGAAGGAACGTAAGAAGGATTAACCATCTTAGAGGTGCGACGGGCCCACCCACGCGATTACGACTCGCAGAGAACGAGCCAGATTAATAGGAAAAGAAAATGTTATCCCGGCGACGATGTGTGTCATGGATGTACCGATGTCGAGGATGAAAAAGAAAAGAAAGAAAAGGAAAGGAAAAGAAAAGAAAAGGAGAGGAAAGGAAAAGAAAAAAAAAGAGAGAAGGAAAGAAAAGAGTAAGCTGACGGTATATTCGTTAATTTTAGCGATTTAAGAATGGCCTCGACGATCGATAAATTAATATGTACACGTATACATACGTACATAGGCGTATCGCAAAGGGGGAGGGTATGACCCTTTCGAATCTTGCCAAATTCAACGCGTAACGTATAATTTATAGGTCTTTGTCGAAGAGGTAGGTCCGCCTGGGATATTTCGTGGGAACTCGATCGAAAGGAATTTTTCGTGCCTGAAGCGATCGCACGCTGTTGGTTGGTACCCCTGACAAGGAGAGTGTGTCCAATTTTTGAATTGCCATTCTCACCCCAGTGTTCTACCCTACGCCATAGCATGACCAATCATTGAATGGTCCCAACTCACCCGCGCTTCTCTCTCTCTCTCTCTCCCTCTCTCTTTGTGATTTCGTCAGGATCGCTCCAGATTTTTCCTTTACCAAAGACTTTCCATCGATTGCTTCTTTCCCGAGGATAATTGGATTTTCTAGTTCTTTGAAAAAGATCTTCCTCGAAGCGTCACGAAAGCGTATCCTTTCGTGACGATGTATCCTTCCAACGAATAGGTTCGACCTTTCACGCTAGGAAACCAAAAAGAAAGGGAAAAAAAAAAAAAGAAAAAAGGAAAAAAAAAGGAGAAAGAAAAAAAAAGAGAGAGAAAGGGACACGATGACTCTGCGTATTTATCACTATTTGCAATATAAACAATCTGCGTGTCCAAGTGGCTCTTCCAGTCGGTCGGTCGAAGTGACAGGACCGGTACTGCTTCTTCTTGCTCGTTTGCAAAGAAGAGATTTATATCGGCTGATCTGAATCACTCTCCGGAAGGTAAAAGAAACATCTGTAAGCTCCTTTCTTTTTTTCTACTTACACTTAGATATTTTTTCCTTTTTATTTTTTTTCTTTTTCTTTTTTTTTGGTTTATTTCAGATTCAATCTTCTCCGATCGTTCCTGATTCTTAATCGATTGTAATAACATGCGTCGTAAAAAGATTCACAATCTGTATATTCGCGTCTAATACAGTTGTTGGAACAGGATTAATTCCAGAGGAAATACCATTCGAATTGCTTGCAGATAGATACAGTAGAATAAATAGATATGAGGCTAGATTGAAACGCATAAATAAGAATTTTTTTTTCGTTTTTGCTTTCTTTTTACTTTTCATTATCATTACGATAATAAAAATTTATCTGTTGACATACTTACATCCACGTTCCTGGAATAGTCGACGCACCAAGGATCAATACCAATTTCAGGATCACCAGTAGACCGCCGTGCACTATCATCTTTATCTAAAAATATGAAGGATAGTTTAGCGATCAACTATTACCCTTATCTTATCGCGAGACATTGCTTATGCTCGCGACTTCTGTCAATACCTTTCTTTATTCGTATTATAAATTAACAAAATGACAAACGCGATAATTCCTGCTTCGAACTGGTATGTACATTTCAAGAGGGTATAAAAAAAAAAAAAAAAAAAAAGTGCGTACCAATTTCTTTTCTAATGCTTTATATAACCAAAGTAATTAGATCGCCATATTTCGTAGTACATACAAACATGGTGTATTAAAGCCGGTAAGGCTGTACGAACGATCGAAGTCGAAGCAGCAAGCAAGTAAGATTTAAGTTACTAAATTTGTCAGTCATAACTTAATACCAGCGATATATTTTATCCAGTAGTACCGACCGAACCAGACCAAGAGCAACGGCATATATGCCCCAACTATCATGTATGTATGAGCAAGGTGCAACCTCGAATCCATGTACTCATAATCGCTTCGAAAGCTTTTGATTTAATAGAATGAAAACTTACCGGACGAGCTCTACACACCCGTAAGATTTTTGAATGGCGGTAGCCATGTAATTCTTCCTGAACTCAGGTTTCATCAAGACTCACCATTGCGAGAATTGGCGCAATAAGTATCGCGAAGTAAACGCGAGTTTAATTACATTTCTGTTCGATATATGAAGATAATTCTTAGACTGTCGAAGTGTTGAACATTTTTTGTTCATTCAAACTCACATACACCACTCCAGCGTTAAGATTTTCTTTAACTACGCTACGTTAAAATGCCTTTCTTGCATCTAGAATATATTTTTATGAAAAAGAAACGAACCATAGAAGAATTAATAATCGATCAAGTCGGTAACTTGTCTTATTTAGTTCGAAAATGTATAATAAGTATAACAAGTAGTTAGACGTATATAATTTTCTATGGAATATAATGGAATTATCTGTAAATGTATCTGGTATCACGTGTAATTACGTTGCTCCAATGCGGAGCAGTTAAACGCGATAAGAATGAAAACAGTTAGTAGCTTCCGAATTCGACAGGTCTTGTTAAGAACATGAATCGCTTAGATATCTTTCGTTTCAACTCGTACGCCTTGCTCCGTCGTAATTTTTTCAAGTTCAATCGGCTACTTCTAGATTCTAGTATTAAAAGTATTTCGTAATCCTTGCCACGATAAGAAGAGACGAAGCGTGTTCCGAGTAAATCGGAAGTCTTTTACGAATGCAGAAAGTGCAGCAAATTACGGTTTAAGATAAAAAATGCCTTTGCATTTGTTATCTTGGAGCAACGAAAAACGAACTTTATTACGGGTGAGCGAGGTAACCCTTCGATGATCTTATCTCCCGTTGGCAAAGGGAAAAATCACGACTATCTATCCTTAAGATCGTACGCGTGTAAGGGCAATAGGACAGGAGTATAAAATGAAAAGTTATGCAGTCTGTAACTCGTAACTCAAGGACGTAGTTCATATTATCCGGTCTTGGTTGGCAAGCGAAGGAGTTGGGGTTGGCAAGAGCAAGATCCAAGGAGGCAAGGACCCAAGCTACGCCATGGGTCCCAGGAGCGAGAAAGTCCGAGCAAGGTGTAATGTCGAATCGATGTACCATAATCGGTAGGACTTGGCTGTTTTTCGTTCCAAGGCAAAGATCATGGCTGCCCACAGGACCAGTACGTAAGTACAAGTACCGGTCATCACCACTAGCACAAAGACGTATCATCATACGGTACGTTACCTTCGTCTTTCTCTTAATATATGTATGGGTGTACACGTACGCACCTATGTATCTAGCCCACGCGATCGAGCAGGATATTAGCCGGTATATAAAATGCATTTGTGATCGCGACAGGAATGTAAATGGCGTGCTTCGGCATGTCTCACGGGCTGGCTCGAATTATCAGCAATAAAGTATCTCCCCAGTGTGTTGAACAAGACATGACCGTGGGTAATATAAGCACCGCTACATTTGTTGCCGAATGAGCTGTGTTCTCTCTCTCTCTCTCTCTCTCTCTCTACGTACGTTACGTATGTATCTACATACATACGTCACCCGTAACGTATGTACAATGTACATATGTACGTTCTCCGCCTCATCAAGGGTCAGAATTACAATCCTTCCTGCCGATCGGCAAGTTAATGGCCCTAATATCCAAGATGGATACGCGTCTTCACGGTGCTTCTTCTTGACTTGAAATAGTCCGGTCTCGAATTTCTTCAAAGAACTAAATCTCGAACAAATGCATTGACATGCATTTTGAATGGACCGTCGTTTATCATATTTTTCGTTGAACTCACTTCTGTTCTCGTAAATACACTCGCCAATTTTCTTTCCTTCTGTACCATCTTTCGGACAATAGATGCGACAAATGCGAGGAGCAACTGAGAAAGCACGCTTTTGTATGGTACCTTTCATTAACATATTCTTTGTTCTGCCCACAGAAGCCCTATATGACCACGAGATAATCCAGACGGATCACCATAAAACCATCATGGCCGGTATGACCGACTCATCCGACTTCGTAATCGCAACCTGCCCTCGGCATCAGAATCATGAGGAATGATCATGACTATTATTCTACTATCAGCGAAGGTTTCCATTAATAATTGTCCTTCTAACTCGATCCCCGATATTGACTCTTATTTAGGTACGATCAACGGAATATAAAATGAGCGTTTAAGTTGATCGGTGAGCGAACGAATCGATTCTAGATTTTCACGCGAAGTACCAAGACAACTCGAGTCCTCTTAACGAAGCTGGAAGCTAAGGATGGTGTACACACACTCGAGATGTACGTACGCAGAAGAAAACGAGAGCCTGTCTACGAGGTCGGAGAGAGGAGGGAAGAGTGAGGAGGGAGTATGGAGGGGCCAGATGAGGGGAGAAGAGATAGAGCGAGAGAGAGAAAGAGAGAGAGATAGAGAGAGAGAGAGAGAGAGAGAGAGAGAAAAGCTGGAGAGGAGATAGGAGATCTGAACCTGGAAGGAAGAGCTGCTGGTACAGGTACACTGAGCCTGATCGACGCTTGTCAGGATCGTAAGGTAATAAAATATTATTCATTTCCTTACATTACGATATGGAAAAACGACAGGATATATAAAGTAGGTGATAACGAGAATATTTATTCGCTTATAATTGGCCGGAATTCGACGGGCAGCAATCGTTGGGTACTTTTATCGCGATCAAATTATTGACTCGTTCCACTAAAAGTCTCAATCGAATATTCTAGCAATGTAAATCATGACCGGAGGCTATTCGTGAACGTGAGATAGACCACGTACCGATAGAGAAACCTAATCGAGAAAATATCGAGATAATAACGTGCTCGGATCGAAATACATTATGGAATTATCCGAAAGTACACGAAGTACATGAAGTCAGAAGCATTTGCTCGCGCAATTATCCAAAGGCTCGAACTTGCTCGCTCGTTAGTCGCATACTACATATAACGCAGGAAAGCCGTATGCATCTTCTGCATTCAACGGCCTGTATAATCTCTTCCTGTAAATGGCAAACGGTTTGTTGTTTGTTAGCCTCGATTCGGTGGACTGTACGCCTCTACGTACTACGTTACGTTACTTGAGCGTAGCTACGCGCTTGGGGAGTCGTTCAGCCGTAACTCATAACTTTTACGACGCTTTCGCGAAGGTACCTTATTAACATCGTAGCTGCACTAATTTATCCTCCGGCAAGGACTGATTTTTAATTGGCAAAATATTATTACACCAAGGTACGCACCGTCAAATAGATAGGTACTGGTCGCGCTAACACACTGTCCCATTTGTGACTTCTAACGTTTACTTTAATACCTATATAATTTTCTAACAATTTCATATTAATTCTAATGTAACTCTATTATATCACGTAATATTTTTATTAACTTCATTATTACGCGATAAGCTTTTTCTTTTCTTTTTTTTTTCTTCTTCTTCTTCTTTTTTCTTTTTTTCTTTTTCCTCGACGCTATTAAAGAATATTAATTTACAAGAAAATAATTTGAAAAAAATGATAAAATTAGAAACTCTTTGAATTTCAAATTCTATATGCAAATAGTAAATAGACGTACGAGCCTTTTTTCTGTTCCCTAAAGAGAAATCGTTTTTACAGGTGCTCTCAGAACGAAGAACGTGAAATGCGCGCGCGTCTTGTACTCGCGCCTACGGTTCGTATTTTCATTATAAAGGCTCGAGATAAAAGCGCGGATAAAACTCGTTGGCGAGCGGGGAATGTCGCCGGTTGAAATCCGCGATGCGTTCGTTATGGCGCTGTAAATCCCGTATACCGCGATATTACGGGGCTGTATAAGATTTCAGCGGCGTGTCAGCTCGTCCACCAACACGACAGAGAAAGTTTTTAATGCCAGCGATAATCTGACGCGCATATCGCTTTATCGTTCGTTACAAAATATCGAAGGCAATTTTGAATCTCTTTTCTTTTTTCATCCTTTTTGTTTGTTTGATTCTTTTTTTCTTTCTTCCTTTTTTTCTTTCTTTTCGCGCGCGCTTTTGCGAAGATGACGACTACGACGATGACGGAGGCGGCTCTATCATCGTCCCTGAATACGAGTCCTTCGCACTCTTTCTTTTTCTCTTTCTCTTTCTCTTTTTCTTTTTCTTTCTCTCTGCCTTTTTCTTACGCGTGCGAACGTTCACGCAGCCATCATAAATGCGACTACTTCCTACGTAATCAAGCAATAATCGTTAGGATAAACGTGAGTGCCAGGATTGTTAGCTAAGCGTTCGCTTTTATTATACGGTTCTCGATTGATTTACGAATGGCGTTGGGAAAACCATTAACGTTACTTATGCTCTACGCCGTTTATTCTTTTTCTCTCTCTCTCTCTCTCTCTCTCTTCTTTTTTTCTTTCTTCCTTTTCATTCTACTAACTTATCGCACCGTTAACGCCAACGAAAATTTCCAATCGCTTATACGTATGATCGATTTTCTTATATACACTTTTCGTTTGTTCCACCTTGAATGTCAATGAGACATATTTGATAATTGTTTAAAGATAACACCGATTGCATCCTCCTCGATTGCTCGATCCTAACGAGATATCGTTAACTTCGAGTATTCGCGATAATACATAATTCTGCATAGTACATCGAGTATTATTATTAATCTACTCGATCAACCATCAGAGAAGACTTCAATTACTAGCGCTGTCAGCAAAGTCGTTTGCTCGAGTAATTAAGAGATCGTTGCCGTATCCTCGAGATACCCACGATCGCAGGTAGCTCGAGACGTTGATGCATAAATTCTGCGCTCTGAATCGAGAAGGTCGTCGAATCGTGTGTGTAGGCAAAGTTATATTCGAAAGCACGGACTGCAGAAAATTTCTTTTGCTTGAGATTCTACAAAGAGATCGATTAATGAGATTTCCGAGTCAATTTAAGTAGTTCTTTTTTTTTTTAACACGGAGAATCGCTACTTGCTGTTTTATTCGCTATTATAAAAGGAGAAAGTATTTATGTGCTTGCTATATATATATATATATATATATGAGATAAGTCGGCGAACATAACAAAAGATACGACGAAACGATAAAAGGTCGAGAGAAAAGAGGAATCGGAGCACTATGATTAGCGAGTGAAATACAATAAAATCAGACTCTCGCACTCTAAGATTTAGCGAGATGATTTACGAGTGGCATTAAGAGTCGTTAAAAGAGACTGCCGATTAATCTTTCGAGACATCGTTAAATCATTGCCACTTTAGCGATTACGAGGAATAAATCCTGAGCTAGCAACGTCTTCCTTGGTACTTGCTCTCCGGCTTACCGATCGCAAAGGCACGCTACGTGTCCAGTGCCGATGCATCTCTTTACGGCTTGGCGGACGCGCCGATGAGAATTTATCTTACCGGTCGCTTTTATCATACCGAACGCCTCCCACCTATCTTCCCTAGAGCCGCATATACCGTTGAACATAAAGATTTCTTTCCTTTTTCTTCCTATACATATTTTTTTTTCTTTGTTTTAAAAAGAAACACTTCTTAGATGGTGATCGTAGGTATGTAAGTAAGTATGTATGTAAACACACGTTTCGTTAGATCACACATTTGTCCAAACTAAAATGTATAATAAGAATTCTCCTTTCTAATTGCATACCTCTATATATTTTCAATAAGAGGATATTTGACATCAAAAGAAAAGAAAAAAAAAAAAAAAAAAAAAAAAAGAGGAATGCCGGTAGTCGTCTAGAAAGTATGTAAAATCATGCGAATTATAATATGGCTTCCGTATATACATATATATATATATATATAAGAGTACTCCTATCTTTATGATTCTTTCATTGCCGCCTTCTCCTTCTCCTCCTCCTTCTTCTTTTTATCATTAGAAAGTTGTACGGTAAGATCCATTCGTATTATTAATGGTAACGCTTTGTATTATTGATAATCCCGAAACGATTCGAGTCTCTCTCTCTCTCTCTCAAGAGAAAAAAGAGAAGCTAATGGGGGAGAGATGGTGCTCGATGGAGCGTGGACAAATAATTTCAATGAAACAGTGACAAATCGGTAATCGTTTACTTACCAATCGATGATATCCAACGTCGTTAACCAGCGTGCAATTGTTTAACCCTCGTGGAATACAATTACGCCTTACATCGGCAAGGGATAAGTTCACTTGAAATTTCCAACGTGTACCAAAAGGAAGATCGACGCGCGGAAGTTTCACGTGGAATGACAAACAACGAGAGCTTTCAACGAGTCGTACTTGGCGCGTGTATTTTCTTTGTCAAATGGATTAAGTGCCGCACATCCTCATCGTAGAATAAACGTTCGCCCATCATTTTTCTCAATACTTATCACCGTTCACTCGACTATGATTCTCTTATGATCTATCTTTCGAGATATTTCTAAGATACTTTCGAAGAATGTTTGTTTATTTATCTTTTCTTTTTTTGCTTTTTTGTCAAAAAGCTCTCGAGCACACATCCAAGATCGAGATACATATATCGAGAAGATCGAACTCGTCTAAAGACAGATGAAATCAAATGATTAGATTATGATCTTCGTCGTTGTCGTTGTTATTGTATTTCTCTTCTTTTTCTCTTTTCTTTTTCTTTTTCTTTTTCTTTTTCCTTCTTCGTTTTCTTCTTATTCTTACGAAACTCGTTAAATAACTTCGTCTCTGTTTTTCAAAGCACTCAATGACACTTGCCTGACGGAAACCTCTCGACCCATTTCCTCCGTAGCTATCGGCTTCGTCGTTTTAATAAGAAACGTCGAGTCAACGGAACGTAGAAACAGAGATAGAATAAGAAAGAGAGAGAAAGAGAGAGAGAGAGAGAGAGAGAACCTGCGAGAGGAGAGCGCTGATTATACGTTGTTTCACCAAAGTTTCGAACACCTGGCCTTCGAGGCTGTTAACACTGGGCGGTCAGTACGGATGAAGACACGCGGCTATTTCGCGATGCTATTTTATGAAGGGTTCTCCAAACGAGTCGACGATTTTTAAATGTCCGGAATTTGTTTAACAACGTATTCAAGGTTTCTTCGAAAGCAAATCTTTCGTTTTCCTAAAGCTCGTGTCTTTTTTTCTCATTCCTTCTCTCTTTCCTCCCTCTGTCTCTTCCTCTCTCTCCCTCTCTCTCTCTCTCTCTCTCTCTCTCTCTCTCTCTCTCTCTCTCTCTCTCTCTCACATACACTTTCTACGTTTGCTTTGGAGATTCCACGAAACGCTCGTAAAACACCTACGGAGAACAATGCGTTGTGTGCCAGCGAGTTTGCTAGATCGAGCTTGCTACGGATAGACGTAGGTATATGCATATAAACAAAAGATAGAGAGAGAGAGAGAGAGATACGATGACGATGAGATTCTTCTCATACGAAGAACTTTTCTTATATTCCCTAAGACACTCGTTCTCCTTTCTAAACGCTGAAAATGTTCGCTGAAAATCTCGATGTCAGCTCGATTTACGTGCGTTAGCTGACTGGCTAGCTGGTTGGAGCGCGGGCGCACGCGAGCGCGAGTATTCGACTCCCACGCGACGGAAAAGTCGTTCTCTGTCTACTACTACTCGATGCAAGATCGAACTAACGATCCTCTCGTTGCAAATCAGAGACGAGATTAAAAGAGGCTCGTTGACGATGTCAAAGGAGAGTAAAAGGAGAACGTACGAGCGAAGGAATAAACGAACGAACGAACGAACGAACGAACGAACGAACGAGCGAGCGAGCGAGCGAGCGAATGAACGAACGATCGAACGCTCGACGTGAGACTCTCCGAATCTCTTTCTCTTTCGTCTCCCTCTCTTACTCTCAAGAAAGAAGAATAGTTTCTGGAGCAATTCCGATCTCTATCGTATTCCTTCAGGACACCACCGATCTCCCTTCTTTCTCTTCTCCCTTTAACAATTCTACACTGTGCGCCTTTAGATTTTCTCGATAGAGAATTTTTCAGTTTTCCCTTTTAGGGAAAATCCCTCTCTCGGTACCTTCTGTAAAAATTTATCACGTAAATATAAAGTTTCTTTCTAATCCCTCTTAAAAATATCTTCCTAGCGAACGGGAATAGAACAGAGAAGAGAAGATAAGAGAAGGGAAGAGAGAGAGAGAGAGGGAGAGAGAGAAAGAAAGACGCTCGCCGTTCGAGGCGTCGAGCGCGACTACGTCGAGGGATCCTCGCGGCACCGGTGTATGCCTCCTTCGGCACCGACGCGCGGAGAGAGACGCCGTGAAAGAGCGAATGAGAGAATGAGAGGGAGAGAGGGAGAGAGAGAAAGAACACTATGGAGAACGATTCTCCTCGTGGAAGGACCGCCTCGTGCTGCTGCTGCGAGCCCTAAGGGTACGAATCACGGTGTGAAACCTACTGCCGTGCTGAGATGCTACGGAATGCTCGCGGATCAGCCAGAATCCACGACTTTTCTCTCTTTCTCTCTCTCTCTCTCTCTCTCGCTCACTCTTTCTCTCTTTCTTTTCTCATCTACCCCTTTCCCTGTTCTCTCTCTCTCTCTTTTTCTTTCTTTCTTACTCTCACTAGTTTTCGCTCTCTCGACGCTCGAACGATCCTTCTATCCTTATTCTCAATGTGTGCCTCTCTTACTCTTGTTCTCTTTCTCTCTTTCTTTTTCTAACTTCTTCGATCTCTCTTTTACTCTCTTATTCTTGCCAAAGAGGGAGCCCCCTCGATCGGTCGCACGAAACCCAGCGGCTGCCACCGTCGCCGTTGCTGCTTCTCTTCCCCTTTGCTTTTCTGCCTTTCTATCCTTTCTTCTCGTCCTCGTTCTCTCTCTCTCTCTCTCTCTCTCTCTCTCTCTCTCTCTCTCTCTCTCTCTCTTCAACCGCCCGCTCTTCCGTTCTTCTCCTCTTCTTCTCTTTCTCTCTTTCCCTGGCCGGTTCATTGGTTCATCGGTGCACCGGCCCGGGCTCCGTATTCTTCTCTCTAATTATACCGTTACGTGCAATCGCTCGTGTCAATTAGCAGCTCCTTTCTTTCGTTCCTTCACTTTTCTCTATCTCTCTCTCTCTCTCTCTCTCTCTCTTTCTTTTCTTTTTCTTCTTCTCCATGGACCAGGATACGTATATACACAACTACATACCCTAGCAGAAACCCTTTCGAAAGAATATCCAAGGAGGGTGGGCTAGTATGATCGAGCTACCCCCCAATTAACGATTAGGATCGTGCGTTTCGAGATGGAAACGGTACGTTGCTCCGCATTCGGATCATTGTTCAAGGACGCCGGAATAGTGATCCCAAGAACAGAATGAAACGAGTACATAAGTGCGTATGTATTTACGTACGTAAGTATGCATATATGGATGTGTATATATATATATATATATATATATATATATATACATATACGAGCGTGCTTGTACGCACGAGGAACGACGCGCTATTCTTCGTAATAATGCGGTTTGTCCTTTTCTTTTGGGGGCCGACCTCTTTCCTTCCTCTCTCTTTCTCTCTCACTTTTTCTCTCTTCGAGTTTAACCAGTTTTGCGAAGAACGAAAGAGCGATTCGCTCGGAAAGGGGCTTTTTTTTCGGTCGTTACGCTGGAAAAACATTTCGAACGCATCGGGTATCCTTTATTTTTTTCTTTTTCCTTTGGAATTTGTCGCTCATAAGAGAAAAAAGAGAAGAGAGAGAGAGAGAGAGAGAGGGCGGGCAGGGGAAGGAGGGAGAAAAGGAGAGGCCTCGACGATTGTTAACTTTAAGAATCGCTTTTATTCTTACCCAGTTAATTTGGAGTACAGTAAATTGCTCAGTAGCTCTGACAACTCAATGAAAAGAATTGTCAAATAATTTTTAGAATACTGTATATATAAATTGACTAATGCAATTAATATTAAAAATTAATATTATAGTTTTTAATATTATCTATAATCATTTTATAATATTATCTATATTTTTAATATTAATCGTTTTTAATATTATCTATAACTATCTATAATCAGATCAAAAACAATATTATTGGATATTGTCTGTTTTATAATTTAATTTTCTTGATAGATACAATTTTGTTTCTTTTGTATGTAAGAGAAATTTTCTTCGCTCTCTCTCTCTCTCTCTCTCTCTCTCTCTCTCTATCTTTCTTCTAATACTCGAACAAGAGAATGCACGTGAGAACCAGAGAGAATGATCTCGGAAATGGATCCCCTTTGTAAAGTAGACCTACCATTCCTAAAAGATTTTTTTCTCAGGTTTTCCTTATCTCTCTAATTAAAACGATAGAAGAAAAAAAGAACGATCGTTTTACTTCATTTAAAATGTCCCTCTTTCCACGCTCGCTTCCGACCTTCCACATTATCCCAGTTGATCTTCTCCTTTTTCCCTTCTCCCTTGCGATCGAGAATAAAAATTGCCGTCGATCGATTATTTTCTATCTTCGACCGTTACCACGAAGATCCTCCACGATGGTATTTCGAGATTTAAATCGTCACGACTAAGCATTCGAGAATTGTCAGAGATTTCGAAGGATCTACTTAAAAAAAAAAAAAAAAGAAAAATCACGGTTAACACGGAGACAATCTTATTAATGATTCTTTTCAAGATACTAATAGTATGTTTTTCTAAAATCGTTAAGCAGGTTCCACACCAAAGTGGCACGTACGCAAGAAACATATTATTATTAGCTACAAAATAATGCAAATGTTATTAGGTTTATTCAATTAAATCTTTTCAATATAATCTTTGAAAATTCGTTCATTAATGTTTTATAACATTGTCCATTCGTGTCATTATATTCGGAACTATATTTTCGACATTGATTACATTGAAAAAAATCATTTACGTTCGCCCTACCAGATGGAACTTTAACGCCTGGTAAGGCGTCAACAACGACGACGACAACGACGACGAAATCATTTCGATCGTATCAAGGAAGTATAAACAATTTATTTCTTAAGATGATCGGCGTGACATCAAGGAGTGCCTTCATTCGCATCGTGAGACGAAAGAAAACGATCGTTTCTACGACCTGTGTATATTACGTTTTGCTCTTGTACAATATATATATATATATATATATATATATATATATATATATATATATACATATATATGTATGTATATAGTTCTTAGAATTGAAACGAGTACGTACCATCCAGCTATGAAAGGAACGAAATCGATATCGATATCGGTTTACAGATGGAAACTTCTATTCTTTGAATCGATCGACGCAAACGACGTGCAAGGTGAGATAAAACAATAAGAGATATCGAATTAAAGATCAATAGATATAATCCGACGGAATTTTACATTTGTTGGAACTTGATCTTTCGATAGTTCCAATTGAAACAAGACTTGATTTAAAAACTTTTTGTACTTACCGTATATGTATACATTATATAAAATGTATATATAATATCGCCATTCGAAAAAAAAGACAAACAAACAATCCCTACGCATAAGCAGACACTATTTGTTTCTTTTGCTTCTTTTTCCTTTTTCTGTCTTTTTTTTTTTTTCTCAACTACAGATCATTGAAGAAAAACACGAACGGTATTGTTATCTTGGCACGGGACTGCTAGGTGGCATCTAATGAGGAGGAGGGCACAATGAGTTTTTCTGGTTTAAGTACCGTAGGGAGAGGACACTGGAAGAGGTACTTGTACAACCCTCCTCATTTGATTCATTTATTCTCACGCCTGCTTCGCGAATGAAATGAGTTACCCAAGAATATCCTAAGGCTATTGCACCGAGAAAAATGTTCGACGTTGATTTAAGCACGAAAATTCTTTTCACGTACCATTGCCCTTCGCCCGAGTCATCATAGACGTTAGCAATTTTTTTTTTTATATATAAAACGTATTATAATAATACATATAAAAAAAAAAAAAAGAAAAGATTTTCTCAGTTAAAAACTTTACAATGATAACTATGAAGATATATGTAAAAAGCGCAGCGATATATATATATATATGTATATTTACATACAAACGTGTCTTATACGTGAAGAGTCTATTGTAACGTGAAAAAAAAAAAATAAATAAATAAATAAATAAATAAAAAAAAAAGGAAAAGGTCAAAACAAAAACAAACAATTTTCCAAAGGATGATATTTTATAATCTTACATAACTTAGTTATATAGAAAAATGTACAATGAGCGGATGAATTAATTGTAAAATGATCTAAATTAAACGACTCTTCGAACCTCAAAGAATCTTTTCAAATAATAGATCTGTCCGAATGTCATAAATAACAATACCAGGGCTTCAAAAGATGACCATATTATAACTCGGAAATTTGTGCTTTCACTGATTGCCCTATGAGTTCTGTCACGCACCTGCAATTAATAAATTTAACATTTGAAGAAAACTTTTACATATCCACCCGATATACGTTCATTTTAATCATCTTTAATTTAGGAATACTTGTCCAAGTACAACGCATATTACCTGCATATATTCTTGTTCGTTCTTTACACCCCACAAACTAGTACTTAATTCTTTTATCATATCATCTAATTTTCCATGATTGTTAGTCTCTCCCTCTGCACCTCCACCACCTGCACCTTCTTCCTGTTTAGGATTTTCACCGACATCCATATTAAACATTACAACTTTTGGAGTCATTGTACTTTTTTCATTACTAAAACAATATGTATACGCTCCTGTAGTATGCGCTGCAAACGTAAATTTACCACTCCTTTCTTGTTCTCCTTGATAGATTATTTTACCATCAGGACCGACTATTTTTACATCTATATCTAAAAATCCACCTTCTGCTATTTCAAATGTGAGACCTAAAAAGTATATATTAATTTAACTGCTATTATTTTGAAAACAATTAAGATTAAATATTAGACATTGGAGAAAATAATTATAAAAATAACTATATAATAAATTATATATACCCTTCAATGATTTATATATAAATCAATTAATTATATATAACCTTTAAAATATATATATATATATATATATATATATATGTATATATACATATATACATATATATAAAGTAAATTATAGCTTGCTTATGATATTCATAATAAGTAAATATAATAATAATAATTATAATCGATTGATTTTTTTTATTGCCTTATTACTTAAAGAAGTATTTTAAATGTAAAAGAAACCAACCCATTTTGGTGCCAAGTTCGACTCTATTGAAAAAACATTCTTCTGCGTGAGCATCCACCGTTATAAAATAAGCTTTCACATACACACTATATATAATTAGGAGCAAACATGAAATAATCCTACTCATTTTATCAAATTCTACAGCAAGACAACGCAAAAGACATATGTTCTTTCTTTTTTCTGCCACTTCATAGAGACATATTCACTACCACAGCGCCACGTATGCACTTTGGCATAAATCTACAAATCTATATAGATCTACTAAACGTGTAATGAAAGAAAATTTCTTATGCATGAAATACGTAAAAAAGGATATTTGTAAAAATTTTCAAAAAATATTTTAATACATTTTTTTAATCAGTATTAATTAATCAAAGCTTAGAATATAACCTAAAATCTGATTGATTAATTTTATAATAATTATTTAATATTTTTAGAATACATGCAAACTACTTACTGCACACGTGACTTTCATAAAAACTATCCTAAACTTTGCATAATTTCTTACCATTCTAAGAACACAAATTAAATAGAATATGATTTCCACAGAATAAGATATAAAAATATGAAAACTTGTAAATTTTACTATAAAACACCCTGTACCATGCAGTTGTAACATGTTTTCATTTAAAATAAATATACTATCACGCTGTTAAGTCAACTTTACAATACGTTTTATTCATAATATCTATATTTGACAATGATTCAAATAACAAATCAAAATAGATTAATTCATTTTGGGAGATTAAATGTAACATTGGTTTCATCCGTTCTACGATTTCTCTCAACTTATAAAACCTTAAACAATTCCAATATGTACGTATTAAAAGATATACAATTTTAATCATTATACATTCTAACCTCTATATTATTTATTTTCTTTAAGTGTCGAACCAGTTAAACTAGCTTATGCTTCTTATGAATCAATGAAAGAAAATTCAAATGTTACAATTCATCCTATTGTAATAATGCATGGTTTATTTGGATCAAAGAATAATTGGAATTCTTTGTCCAAAGCAATTCATCAGAAGAGTCAGCGTAAGGTAATGAAAGGATTTTATAACGTTCTAATTTTAATATCATTCCTTTTCTAATTTATTCTATTATCATTTAATTTGTCATCAAATTTATGAAACAGCATAACTTTTAGGTAATTGCGGTAGATGCAAGGAATCATGGAGATTCACCTCATTCGTCAGAAATGTCTTATAAACATATGGCAAAAGATATAGTACAGTTATTAAATGATTTAGAATTAGAAAAAGCTATTCTAATTGGACATAGTATGGGAGGATCGACTATGATGTATTTGGCACTACATTATCCAGAATTAGTAGAAAAATTGGTAGTAGTTGATATGTCTCCTGCAAGACCTAGTCCTAGTCTAACAGAAATGGTGAAAATTTTTAAAGCCATGCGTTCTATCACATTAGATGGAAGTCCATCCTTGTCAAAAGCACGTAAAATGGCGGAAGAACAGCTCGCAAAAGTTGTCAAACCATTAGCATTACGACAAGTATTTATTATAGATTATATCGTATTGAATATTTTTTTATCGCGCTGATCTATATATAAAAGTAAATGTTTTTTTCTTTTTTTTTTTTTTTTTTTTTTTTCTTTTTTTCTTTCTTTTTTTTCTTTAAAATTTTTCTAGTTTCTTACAATGAACCTTGTGGAGGCAGAACCTGGAAAATATAAATGGCGCGTCAATTTACCGGTATTGGAGCAAAACTTCTCTACTGAAATTGCGATATTCCCTAATGTAGCAGAGAAGGTTTATATGGGTCCAACATTGTTCATAGGTGGTTCAAATAGCGATTACATAAAAATCGAAGATCATCCTGCTATTAAGAAATTATTTACACGTGCAGAATTTCTTTATGTTGCTGGTGCCGATCATTGGGTGCATGCAGATAAACCGGCAGAATTTATCAACATTGTCACCAATTTTATTAATCAAACTCATTCGTGATGTTTGTAAATATGTATGAGTAACAGCATATTATTGTTTGTAAATATGTACATATATTTATGTGAAAATTTTTACAGAGATAATGGGTGAAAAATAGTAAAAATATAACACAGTATAAACAAAGTATGAATCTTATGTCAGGTAAGAATTTGTTCAACAACATGATGTCGTGTTTTTATATATCTTTAATTATAGATATTAATATAGGCAATATTTTCTCTTATTTAGAGAAAAAATATTATAAAATGCACAAAGTGATTTGAGGCCGTTTATTACTCGTTTCAAGCAATTATATGAGAAGTAGTAACTCAGAAAAAGTAATTCACTGATAAAATATTATGTGCATCTAGTTTCAATTTTTATGATCAATGAGATAAATATTATTAATAAAAGTATGCTTCAAAATTACTTGTTATTTTTGTGTATGATTGACAGCAATAATATGGCAAAGACCAAATAAAATTATGTGCCATATAATTCTACCTTTAAGTCAGACTGGTGAATAATTGAACTATTAACACAATTGCTTTTCATAATGTGCAAATATTACGGTATTATTAATCTATAACTTTCAAGTAATACTATCCAACAAATAACATATTAAATCACATCATTTTGGTGTCCTCCATTATACGCATAATCTGCTTTATTGTGCATTACCAGTTGATTGTCCACAAAATAAAATGAGTCTGAACGTGTTTCAAATGGATTTGCAATCATTTCAGAAACTGAAATATATGTATTATTATTATTATTATTATTATTATTATTATTATTATTATATATACATATATATTAACAAGTTATATATAAAAGAATTGGACGAGAAATAAATATTTAAAAGTGATACACACCCAGATCAGTTGGTAGAGTAGGAAATTCATAAATATGTTCGCATGTATTTTTGCTATTTGGAATACAAAATCCAAATTGGAAATCAAATGTTTTTAATAATCTATCTCGAAAAAAATGACGTTCTATCATCCTGAAATTGTTTACTGGTTTTGGCCCTACCAGAAATTCGACCGTGGCACCAACTGTCTTTAACTTAAGAAACTGCGGGGTAAATTGATAACGCACGAATCTTCCGGTGTTTGCATCCTCGCAAGTAGATTCTTCGGAATCTGCCTCCGCATCTTGATGAGAATCACATTCTAATCGTTTAAAACAATAAGACATTATAACAGACACTTAATAAGTATAAAAATATTTTAACTGTATGTATATGTATATATAAATTGTACCGACCAGCAGCTGGTGGCTTTGTTATCTCAAACAAAACTGCTCCTGTTTCCAGATCTCTGATTTGGAATCTGGTAAAGTCTATGTCATAAATATTAGCTTCCGGAGAGCATAAATACTCTGAAAACAATATAGGTACCGCATTTACGTCTTGAGACAAGACGTATCATTTGTATCATCTTGTATACTTTGCAGTACCAAAGAAGCGTGAAGACAAAATTGAAATGGGATTCTGGGATAGGCATGATATAAAATGTAGAAACACATAGCATGTTGATTATGCAACGTGAAAATTGTATATCCATGAGAAAATAAAAGAATGTGCGTCTATTATCTTAGGTGATGGCAAACAATGTAACTTTTCCATTGTGTTTTGTTTGCAAACTATATGCCGGTAGGTTAATAACATTAATAACACGAAATAAAACTGTCATACTATCTGTGATGGTAGGCAGTCGCAGCACCATATCTGGTGTTATTGGAATATCACCGATATTCCCATTGCCACTGTTCTCTTGATCGGCGGACGGAGTGAATGGTGTGATCGCTTCATTAGACTTGTTTTCGCTGTCTACACTCATTATTTGGACACGAATACAGCATGTACAGGAATTAATTTTTTATTTGCTGCTCAAAAGAGAATTCTACTTAAGACAATAATAATTATTTCTTATAAATTCAAATAACATTCGTAACTAACAGCTTGATTTTGAGAGCAGCGGTTCTCACCGAATAGTCGCGTTTAACAAATTTTTCTATTTCTTTTTCGTACTCACTAAAATTCCACATGTCTATTCATTTTAAAAAAAAAAAATCATTGAAACGTTAACCGTTACATCAAATTTCTTAACAAAACGTCCATTACTAAATAAGACTCTTAAGAAACGTAACTCTTTGAATAATAAATGAATGATTCAATATCGTAATGCCGACACGTGGCGTTTTTATTGCTCGTAACATCCAATGAAAACTATTCTTTAAAAAGAAACGAAATCCATACAATGATCGTACGCTACTTGAAAAAACATGTCATTTTTTTTTCTCTCTACATTCGTGTAACGAATCTTACGTTAAATTTTACATATATTTTTTATTTATTTAAAAATTCGACGTTAATGTTACACCTACGTGTAAGATTTTCCCGTACGTATAATTTATAATGTGTAACCTATCAATAGAAGTATGAAAATTAATTCAACCGTTTGTTCACCAGATGGCATCTCGATAATCGATTGAAAATATCCAATATTCAAATGTGTCAACAAGAATTTCTAAATACTCTATATTACGAAATATAAATTTCTAAGAATGTTACTTTTGGTATAGTCTTAAAACGCAATAACGTTTTTATCCGAAAAGGAACATTAAAAATAATATAGGATATTAAAAAAAAAAAAAAAAAAAAGAAAAAAAAAGAATTTTATACAAATTGCGAAGGCAATCCCCTCATCGTACCATACATTTACCACCGTATATGCATTTACATTCGACGCACATTTGATATACGGGATATGTGTCATAACCTAAACTTCACGAAGAAATGTCACGCTCTACATACAAATGAGTATAATTTTCCGTAATAATATACGCCTTACCGTCATTTGTATCGTCGTGTTTTAGTTTTGCTATGTTTGAATCGGTGCTACAATTATTATTTAAAATTTAAAGAACTTCAAGAAAATATAAATACATGGCAAATTTGTAATAATGACAACTCAAAATAGTAAAACATCTAACGAACCATATCGAGAATTAAAAGAATCACGTGGCTCTGAATTAAATGTCAATGAACAAAATACTGGAAGATACAATGGCACCTTTGAAGATAACATTGATCGATCTATTGAACTTTCCTCCATAGTAGTTATACCTGATGGTATGATCTTATCTTTATATTTTTGTCACTAAAATTTTATTATGTATTATACATATTTATTATGTATTATATCATGAACTAAACCTCAAGATGTTTTATAATTTGTTCTATAGGATAACCATGCTTGTTCATCATTTTTAACTTCAAAGAAGAAATAACTGCATGTACAAATTAAATATTTAATAATATGCATGATAATACATCGTTAGATTTATGAAGGCCGCTTTGACTAATGACTGCTGAAATAAACTAATCAAATTTTGGGGAATCATAACATTGATGTTTATAGTAGAGAGGTGATTAATGTAATAAAAACTAAATTACATTATAATCTTAATTCATTGAATGTTTATGAAATTATTTTTATCGTTCCAATTCAAAAATGTAAATATTATTATTAAGTTTTTACCATGATATCTATTGGTAATAATATTAAAAGGACGTTGTATATAATCTAAAGCTATAAAGATTTTTTTTATATACTGTATATAATACAAAATCTACTTTAATTTTTTTTTTTTTTTTTTTTTTTTTTCTTAATAGACACATTCACGGTAATTCAAGCTATCAATGAATTGGGTTTTGGAAAGTTTCAAGTTAAACTTTCATTGTTTACTGGATTATGTTGGATGGTTGATAGCATGGAAATAACAATATTAAGTATTCTCAGTCCATCTTTACACTGCGACTGGGGTATTTCCCGATATCAACAGGCTTTGACGACGACGGTAATAATTTAAAATTGTATAATATCGTGATATTTTAATGCATTCTATGGATAAAATAAATTAGATTATTATTTTTTTTTAGGTTGTTTTCCTTGGTATGATGTTAAGTTCGACATTTTGGAGTAATTTAAGCGATAGATACGGTAGAAAGCAAGCTTTGACTTTATGTGCAGTATTACTATTTTATTATGCATTTTTAAGTGCATTTGCACCAAATTTCCTTTGGATATTACTACTAAGAGGTTTAGTAGGTTTTGCTATTGGTTGTGTACCACAATCGTAAGTATTTGGTAAGTCCATATAATGCATATAAGATGCATATTATATTTAGTTATTGCCCAGTATTTCTTAATATCAACAGGGTTACATTGTATGCCGAATTTTTACCAGCGAAACAAAGAGCCAAATGTGTCATTTTATTGGATGTAAGTCTTATTGCGTTAATTCCTTTAAAATTCATATTATAATTATTTTTTTAAAAATGTAAATATTTTTACCAGTGTTTTTGGGCACTCGGTGCATGTCTTGAAGTTGCAATAGCATTAATAATAATGCCAAACTTTGGATGGAGATGGCTCCTTACCTTATCAGCAATCCCACTTCTTATATTTGCATCTATTACGCCAGTAAGCTAGAAATAACTCGCGTCATTTTTCTTTTTCTTTCTTTTTTCTTTTTTTTTTTTTTTTTTTTTTTTCATATTTATTGTAACACGTTAGTTACGTTGTATTTCAATAGTGGCTTCCAGAATCTGCAATTTTTGATATGACAACTGGTAGAATGGATAAAGCTTTATCTACGTTGGAAAGAATAGCACGAGAAAATAAGAAACCATTACCTTTAGGAAGATTGATTATGGATCGCTTTTATCAAACTAATCGCGGTAGGTTCACGGATGTGTTAAGCAAGGAAATGTGCAAGACTTCTACCTTACTTTGGCTGGTGTGGTAAATACACATATTATAATTTATTTTGGTGGTGGTTAACTTGAATTTACACACTATCTTTGTAAAATATAAAATGAAAAACATTTTTGCGCTTGCACAGTTCTACTATATATATATATATTATTATAAGATTAACAAAATATTAAATTTTTTCTTATAGAAAATATTTTTTAATCGTATTGCTTAATATCGTAATTTTCTATTGCTTCTTCATTGTAATTATAATAAATATTAAAATATTATTACACGTAAACGTAACAAATTATAGGATGGCTACAGCATTTTGTTACTACGGTGTGGTATTAATGACCACCGAACTATTCCATACGTCATCGGAACAATGCGGCTCATGGGCAAATGGCGAGAAAATAGAAAATACTTGTCAATTAGAATGTCGTTTAAGGCGAAGCGACTATATAGATCTTTTGTGGACTACATTGGCAGAATTTCCAGGAATTTTTTCTACTGTATTTGCAATAGAAAAAATAGGAAGAAGAAAGACTATGTCATGCCAATTGGTCATGTTTTCAATAGTTATTTGTTTTTTGGGAAGAGCTTGTTTGTTAAGTAGAGCAGTATTGACCATAGGAATATTTTTAGCAAGAGGATTAATTGCTGGCGTATTTCAAGCGGCATATGTTTATACGCCAGAAGTTTATCCAACGCATTTACGTAGTATAGGTGTGAGCGCGTGTAGCGCTATGGCACGAATGGGTGCTATGATAACGCCATATATAGCGCAAGTGTTTTTACAATGGTCTATCACAGGAGCTATGGCAATATATGCTGTTGCCGCGTTATGCGCAGCAATTGCTACGCTTGCCTTACCTGTTGAATCTAAGAATCAAAATTTAAAGGACTCCTCTAATAATACTAAATAATTAAAATTGGTTTTTCCGAATTATACAAATATCATTGATTTTATGATCATATATGTATTTATACGACAGCAGCTAATATTTATTTAATACAAACATATTTCTTACTTTATCCAAATAATTTAATTACACGTTTCTATATTTACATAAACATCATGCTTATATAATGCAAGTTGAAAGATACAATAATTAAGTTTGATGTACGTGTGACGCACCAAGACTGAAATGAATTTTAATATACAATGAAGGTGCCAAAATATATTTATTTATATATTTATGCTGATTTCTAACTACTTAAAGCATATAACAGTTATAGGATATATTTAGATGAAATTGTATTCTCTTTGTAAATATTTATAAAACGGACAAATAATATTTGCAAAAGATTTAGTTGATATTACTTACGTACTTTTTTAGGATATCTTCAAAAAAATTCTGACGAATATATATGCGTAGGTATAATGTTTATATTATGTTTACACATCGTTAAGTACAATATAAGAAATAATTTAAAGCTATATATATGCATATATGTATATACATATATATATATATATTATTTATTGATTAAATTGTTAAAAAAGAATTAAAATGCAAATATATATTCTCAATCAATATATGTGTACATTAATTTGTAAGATTTTTAATATTCGTTAAATTCCAAGCATAAAATTAAGGTAGTAAGTGTAAAGATATATTCTTCTATTATCCATAATTTGTGAACTTGATTCAGATAGATAATATTTAATTAGAACTCTGAAACTTAACAACATTTATAATATTTCAATGATCATAGGTATATATGGGTTTTTGTTTTATAAATAATTCATGTATCAAAGCTGAAGCTATAAGAGTACTTATTAAAAATATAATTGTTATTAGAACAAAAACGGGATACATAATTTAACGTAAAGCATGTACTAAATACCACTTATAAAAAATTATTTTGTACAAAAAAGTCAGAAATATTTAATATCCACCATGATTTTATGCATTTCGTACTAAGCAAAGTACACTTTCTTTTAAATATCCTCCGGATGTATCAAGATTTTTTCCTTTATCACTTTCATATGAAAATTTTAATAAACATGCTGGTATCAATCTTAACTCTAATAATGTTTTGTCGTAATCATTTTCTCGTATCTTTTGACCTACTGATAATAGCAGAAAAAATGGAATATTGGCGTTGATTAAATTTTCTTTAACAAAATCCACAACTTCTTTATATTTATCATGCACTGAAAATGTTCCCTGCAATATTATGTTGTCCGGAAACTTTATTCGAATTAATGTAAATCTGTATCTTCTAAGTTCTCGTTCTTCATCTTTTTCTCGCATAGCTTTCGTCCTTAACATTTGATTTCTTTCAATGGCTTCAGCCCTAGTGACAATAAATAATTATGACAATTAAATGATTATTCGTACAATGTCAATTTCTTCATTCAGACGTATCACTTTGTAACTTAGTAAAATTGAATAATTTTTGTTACTTGCCGAAGTTTTTGTTCTTTTTTCAATTCTTCTAAAGTTATATTAAAGAAACTTTCAGGTAATTCAGTCATCTCATTTGCTTGACTAGGCAACAGAACTTGTAAATTTCTGTCTACTTCAAGCGGTATAATTTCTGCGGATCTTATCGCTTCTACTAACATAGTTAAATCGTCCAAACTGGAACCATCAGGATTCCATACCAAAAAGTCTTCTTCAACGTCATTGTGTAATAATTTCTTTTGTTCAAAGCCAGCAGCTTTCAAAAATTCTAAAGCTCCCTCCAATGGCAACACTTTTTCCTTAAAAAGATATAATAATATTGAATTATACATTATCTATCAAAAAAATTCATATTATAACAATAAACTCGTTACCTGAAATATTTTATTACACATTCTAATTTTTTGATATTTTTCTACATCTGGATTGTTTAAAATATTTTCTATGTATTTTTCTAATGTCTCTATACAATTTTGAATCTTCGTTTTTCCTGTATTACAATTATGAATGATCAAGCATGATGTTAACCCTGCCTCTTCTTCTTTCAATTGTTCATACAAAAATTCTCGAATTTTTCTTTTCCATTCCTCTCGCGTTAAAATTTCATCAGAAATATATGGACATCGAAAGTATACATCAACGACAGCTAAAAATTCATTATTTGTAGCTTGATCTTTGGGTTTTTCAACTAATTTTGTTGCAGTTTCTTTTTCAAGTTCCTGTCGTGCCTTTCTTTCCAATTCCAATTCTTTCTTTACACGTGCCTGTATCGCCGCATATGATCTATAATAAAAGATCAAATGGATTAATATATATATATATATATATATATATATATACACATATATAATTAAATAAAATAAAAATCACTAAATTTAAAATAACAAACATACGTGTTAAATCTACGTGTATCACTTTCTTTTGCTTTTAATCGTGCTAATGCAGCTTGCCCAGCTACTTTAGCTTCTTCCGTGGGCTCTGCTCTTTTTATTGGTTCTTTTGGTTGATACATTTCAGATGTTTCAGGTTTACTACTTTCATTCAATCTACAAAATATAATTAATATATATTTATGTATACTAATTTGGATAAAGATCAATCTTTCCTTTGTTCTTTTTTTTTTTTATTATATACATACTTATATCCTCTTCCAGCATTCATAAACTTAGTATTTGCTTTTTTCTTCTGAAAGAAGGCCTTTATTTTATCTGCCATTTTGAATATTTAGAAAGATATAATCTGATGAAATTCCAGGTATTAATTGTATAATAATTTCTAGGAAAAACAAACAAAAAAATATTTTCAAATAGTAATTATTATTTAATTACTATTCTGAGGATTTCCCATAATATCCAGGTAGACCACCTAAAAAAGAGATATATTTCTAACGATAATGTATACTTTCTATTTATCTTTATCTTTGATCTTGTATTTGATAAAACAAAAAAAAAATTTGCAAAAGATAATAAAATCGTACTTACTTGGATTCATAAATTGTTCTGATATTCTTAAACCGTATACATGCCAGGCAATACAAATTAGAGCAATTGTACTAGTAAGTATAAATAGAAAAATCTTAAGTAATTGAAGTTGAAATTCATCAAATGATAACAAGGCTATTAATTCTTGAAAAAATTCAAAAAATCTTTGAAAGGGCTCATTGCCAAAGATAACAGTACTAGTCGAATCGAGGGTTAGGCCGAAATTCGATGGAAGAAAATCCGTTAAATAAGAAGCAAATCTATTGATTGTATCTTCCAGGTAGTCCTTCCACGGACACGAATTTTCGCATGTACTGCTCATTACACGAACAAACTTTTTCGTGTGTATCTCACACTGTATCTAACATACTTAAGGATTCAAGAATTGTCATTATTAAAAAAAAAAAAGTTACAACGTAAATCAAGCGCAAGCAAACGATGGCCACTGTGGCAAACTGGTAAAACTATGAAACAAAAGTCATCATCATTATAATGACCACAGATGCAAAACATACAAGTCTCATCTTATATAATATTATTTCACTTACAACTGATCTTTATAGTTTATGGTTTTATTAATTTTAATATTGAAAAAAATTTGAAAGAAAAGTATTAAATTTAGAATGTACCTTTTAAAATCTATAAAATTATTAATTAATTTTTAAACATATTCAATATATTTATTAAAATCGTCAAATATATGACACATTTTCAATATTATATATATATATATATGTTATCGAAGTTATGAGTTTGTGCTCACTTTATTTCATTAATTTCATGATTTTCGAATGAGGCTTGTGTTTTAAAGTTGCCTCTGGTCGGTAACCATTAAAATCATACATATCAGTCGGTAAGTTGACTTTAGTTCCCAGGAATGCCGCTACGAGGACAGAATTTGTTCTAGAGTATACCTCTCGTCTTTCTCTATTTACTACGTCAATTTCGTGATCCATAACAGTCTGTAATGATCCGTGTTCTAAAAGTGTCTACTGCAGTCGAATGTGGTTAAGAGAACGTTTGTTTTATTTGTGTCAATGATATATAATAAATTTCTATTGAGAATTTTATAATTTTAATGTACATTTAAAAATCGTTTACTATAAATAAAATAAAAACAAAATGGGTGGTGGAGATCTGGTATGTATGTTTTATTTCTTTTCTTTTTTTTTCAAGTGAAATTAACCGTTGTACGCGTATATATATATGTGTGTGTGTGTGTGTGTATGTATAAATAATCGATTTTAAGTTTAATTAACAATTATAATTACATATCGTATTTTATATCAATCTCATAATCATTAAATCATATAAATTAACCTAGAATTTGAAGAAATCATGGCATCCATCTACTATGAAGAATATGGAAAAAGTATGGAAAGCCGAACAAGAAAAGAATCAAGAGAAAAAAAGAATAGCAGAATTAAAGAGAGAAATAGCAATGGAAAGAGACAGAGAAGACATGACAAAATATGCTATGGAGCAAGGTGTTATAGAAAAAAAAGATGATAAAAAATTAGATTGGATGTACAAAGGTCCAAACGAAATGGTAAATAGAGAAGAATATTTACTTGGTCGTCCAATTGACAAATCTTTTGAACAAGTAGCACAAGCACAAAAAGATACAGATTTAAATCGCGCACCAAAAAATCATGTCGAATATGGTTCGTATAATTTATTTCTATCGCCTTTCACTCTTGATCCTATTAATTAATATTAATTTATGATTTTAGAATGTATTCCGCCTTCTTTACGTTTTTTTTCTGGAAACGAGCAAGTTGATCTAGCAAGGAAGATGCAAGAAGATCCATTGTACGCTATAAAAAAGAAAGAAATGGAAACAAGAAGTCAGTTGTTAAAAAATCCAGTCAAGCTAAAAAAAATTAAAGAGTTGGTAAGTATAAGTATTGTTAAATCCTTAATTATTGTCTTTGCAATTATTATAATTTCATTTTTTTACAGTTAGAACAACAAACAAAGAAAAAAGAAACAAAGAAAAAAAGCAAGAAGAAGAAATCAACGAATAATACGGATAATAGTGATGACGAAACTGAATTGGATAATTTATTAGCTGCAAAATACAAACAACTGAAGGATAAAATTAGTGAAAAACATTTGATGAAGTCTATGAAAAAAATTAAACATAAGAAAAGGAAAAAGTCTAAGAAAGTCAGTAGCGATTCTGAAAGTGACAGTAACAGTGAAAGTGATAGCGATAACGAAAGCAGTAATAGTGACAGCGATAGTAGTAGTACTAGCAGTAGTAGTACTAACGAATTAGTTAAACGTAAGAAACGAAAACGAAGTCACAAAAAGAGGAGCAGTAGTAATGACAGTGGAACAATGCATAGAAAAAGAAATAAAAAGAAAGATAATGAAAAAAAGGAAAAGCATACAAAGTCAAGTACATACAAAAGTGATGAAGAAGATGGCAAAAAATTACTTAATAGAAGTAACAACGCATATTATACAAAATCGGATAGAACATTCAAAAAAGAAAAAGAATATCAGTATAGAAGAAATACAGTGCATAAAGAAGATAGCAGCTATAAAGATAATGAAAACAATAAGAAGAGATATAAAGAAAGGCCTTCAGTAGAGAAATACTTTAATGTATATATATACATACATATATATAATATTAATTTGTACATGATATATATAATTTAATAGTTTTTACAATTATTTCCGATAAAAAAAAATTATTTATCCATACTTATATATTTCTATATTACAGGAAAGCCATAAAAGAAAATCGCATCACTTCTCTTATAATTTACCTCAAAGAAGAATTAATGAAGATAGGAAAACTGAACAGAAATGGGTTCCAAAAAAGAAGCTTTCAGAAGAAGAAAAGGAAAAACGTAGACAGGAAATGATGGAAAATGCAACATGGCGAAATAAAGAACGAGAACGAAATATAAAGCAGTATCATGAAGAAGAAAGGAAAGAATTATCAAACGAAAAAATATATAATAGAGATTTTATTAGGTAGGATATTAATCTTTCTTTCTTTATACAATTATACATTAGAATATATCTCTGATATATATATACATACACATATATATATGTGTGTATTTATGTATATATATATATATATATATTTTTTATTTTTATAACATAGGAAGCAATTAGTTGCTGCAGCCGAAGTGGGTACAGTTGCATCAAGGATTAAATCTAATATAAACAATATACAACGTTCTTGCAGAGCAATGGATACAAATTTCGCGAAGCGATGAGTCATTTAGTTAAGCCCACTTGTACAGTTAATATGTAGGAATTCAAGAATGACACGGTAAATTCTCAGATCTTTTTTTATACATTTTGTATAGAAAATAAAATATACGTAATGGATCTTTACCAAGATGACTACACATAAATATTATTACACAATCTTTTGTACCATATACAAATATATATATATATATATATATGCATATATATATACACATTTTTAAATTCAATTTCATCATATATGTTGTACTTTGAATCTATTAGAATATATCTTATCAGGAAGTAAATTAGAAAGTATATTTATGTAATTTTGCACATTTCACGAGATTCAAAATTATCTTTCGCATCCATGATAGTAGTTACACGACCAATCGTAAGAACATTATTTACGACTGCTCTAGCCAGGTAACCAGTAGTTACCGAATAATGTGCAGAAAAGAATGGTGTGAAGTCGTCTGTTCTCTCTAAATTTTGATCCTATATTAAACAAACATATTATATATTCTTATATGAATGAAATATATATTCATCACATGATGAATATAACATGTATAGTGAGAGATTTTTAATAAAACAAAAAGTTGTACATACCTTGGAATACATAACAAAGCTATCCTCAACAAGTTTATTTAGATTTAATTGTTTTTGGAAACTAAGCTCTGGATTTCTTAATAAAATTATTGACACTATATTAAGCAACTGTAAACAAATTAGATATAAAATGATATCATAATTTTTAGATTTGCCTAAAAGTTTTTTACTCTTTTGCTTCTAAATAAAAAATAAAAGTGCAAATCTATGATCAATTAAATATTACCTCTACTATAATTTGACGATATTCCGGTAATTGTATATGATGAAGGAGAGATTCTACGAGCAAAGCAAAAGTTAACTCTGATCGTGTCATGTTAGAAAGCGTTGGTTGCTGTGGCAATTCGCGTCCATTAACACATATACCTCCAGGACAACGCATTAAAACTTCCCATACTTGATTATAAAAGTGTGTAGGTACTCTACATAAACTTCCTTCAATTTTCCTTCGTCCAAGTACAGTAAGCCTATTGCAAGAGAAAATATTACAATTGAAAAATTCCATAAAGGTTTTGTAAGAAAATCACATTGGTATACTTTTCTGAACTGGCCCAATTCTTAACAGTCAATACTTTAATCAGGAACTGTCTAATTTGATAGGGGCTGTAGTTTTCAATTGGCTCAGGATTTTTTACAAACATTTCTAAATAAAGCTTCATTGCTTCCAAAACCCACCTAATCGTATATAAATTTCATACGTATTTATATTACATTACAAATAATAATAATAATAATAATAATAAAAATAATAGCAAAAATTATAGAAACTAAATAGTATAAATACCCAATACGAATTTTCAATATTCCTTTAAACATTTCTGGATTTGTTCCAATAAGTCTACCACAATACAATAATACCTCCTGTTGAAGTACAGCTTGTATTACATTGTGAGGTTGAATTGTAGAATACATAACAGATTGAATTTCTGCAGGTGTCATAGGTTTATCAAATACAGTTTCTTCATAGCCAATAACTCCAACAGTTATCTAGATAATAAAAAATACACTTGTATGTGAAAAATTAATAATACTAAATTCGAGGACATATATTACCTGTTTCCCTTTAACAAGTACACCAGTAATAAAAGGACTTATACTATCAACAGTGTGATTTAATAAACTACTACAATAACGAACAGCCATCCAATATCTAAGACATCCTGCTTGCTGATATAGTGTTCTTAAATAATCACCAACTATAAAATTTATGATTAATTTTATTGAAATATTATATACTCGATCTCTATATTAAATCTATATGAGACTTGCACAATTTTCTAACTATATAAATCCAAATATATACCTGTTGTTCCATTAATCTCATAATTGATACCTTCTCTTTTTAATAGAACACCATAGAGCTGACACTTTACATATAACCCATCACAATTGCGAATTTCATTTAATACATTGTGCAAAGGCTCGTGCATAAAATACTGAAAATGCAATAAATGCAATAAATAATGATTAGATCAATATCGTTTGTATATACATACGGAATAATTTTTTATATCTTCGGAATAAGTCAAAGCTCTTGGAACATCAGTGAGACTTTGATAACCAATATAATCGTGTTGTAACTGTTTGAATTGAGTAAGTTCAAGATCAGTTTCCATAGAATTTACAAAATCCAAATGTTCTATAAATTAAAAAAAAAAAAAAAAAAAAAAAAAAAGAAAAAAAAACAAGAATTTTATGTTTCTGATGTGTCAATTGTATGCAATATATAAAATAGATATCACCACACATTACCAATACAAGAGGATGAAATTAAATTTTGCAATCGTCCAATGCGTACTTTTGTTTTATCACAATATCCTTTCTTTAACATTGCAAATAAGTCCAACATTTCTTTAAATTGTGGATCTCTAGATAACAAAACAAAAAAAAAACAATTATAATTATATATGTATATAAACTGTATCATATTGTTATGTAAAAATTAACAGTGTTGATAGGTACCTCATATGTTCTTCTCTTATTAGAAGACATACAGTCGGACGACCAGAAAGTCGCCAATATTTACCGACGAATTGAAGTTCTGTTTTAATATCATCAATTAACAAAGCCATATCTCTGTATAGATAAAATTCAGATACTTCAAATATGAGTGGATAACAAAGTACCGTCATACCGCACACCCTATACACCTGTATATGCACCATTTAGACATAGAAATATTTTACTTTAATGTATATCATACATACCTTACTTGTACCTAGAGAACCAATAGGTCTAACTGGACGTCCTTGAAGATGTAATTTCTTATTTACTCCAAGCTTTTGATAGACTTTTATTAATTGAGTTGAAGATAAAATTTGTACTGGTTCTACTTCATGTGGAGTTTGTGTTTGAATACCGTAAGTTGCCATCATAGCTTGTAATCTCATAGATTCCGCAATTAGAACGATTTGTACTACAAGATCAGCATGAGTGCCCTAGAGGAAAAAACAATATACGTATATATCTATTGGAAAATATATCACGTAATATATTACATAATTATATATGTAATATAAAAAACATATATAAATACCATTGTAAAGAGCTTAATAAAAAATTAAGTTTTTCTCAAACATTCTACTTACAAAATATATACAAATTAATTTACCATAACTTTTATAAATGAAAAAAAAAAAAAAAATAGCAGAATAATTGTAGTTTTGTGATACAAATTACTGCTATTTTTTGTTTACAAACTCATGCATATATTATAACATTAAAAAAAATATTATAATTTTTAATAGTTCATATTGATCATAAAAGATCAGATTATTTTCTAATAATACCAAACACAATACTATATTAAATGACATTTCTACTGTAATGTAACAGCAAGCATATAATATAATTTACTTACAATGGTGGGCTTTGCCTGCATGAAATGTAAGAAAATAATATATATAATTTCCTTCTCAATTAAAAATAACATTAACTGTTTTATTATGAATTACTATAACTATTCTTTGAACATACTTGTTATGTCTTACCTGAAAAGCAGAATATCTTCCAGCTCTTCTTGGTCTATTATATGAAGGCAAATAGCGACGAATAGGATCTAATTCATTGATATGTAATAAACCAGCAGTCAATAATTGTGAAATTATAAACATTGCTTGATTCCACAAATACATTGGTGATGCATCTGCATCTGTAGAATGCCTATATCCTCTGCCTTCATCACTAGGTATCCGATAAACACTACCAGGATCATTTCTTTCATTTTCTAAGTTTTCTTCTGGTACATAATAGTACATAGGTATTACAGGATCTATTTGAATTAAATAATATGTCAGTTAATTTTTTAATTTACTTTTATGTACATATTGTTTATAAATACCTCCATGAAGATCTTTATATATTCTACATTTTAATAAATTTTGATATTCTTCTACTTGTTCAGGTAACGTTTTAAAAACACCATCGATTATCATAAAAATATAAAAAAGTGGCCATTCACATTCAACATTATCAAATTCCTATTGAACAAATATGCTTTATTGTTTCTTGTATTATAATTTTATATTAAAATGTTAATACTAAATATGGCATATATATTTTACTTGCTTTGATTTCACCAGATTTGTAATAACGACGTTGTTTGTCTTCTAACACTGTTTTATAGCCATCTCGCCCAAATCTTTTAAATCCATAATTACCCTTGAGTCTACGAATTATATTTAATTTAGTTTCATTATATAATACTTCTTCATGTGTAGCAAAAGCAGGAAAGGATATTGTTGGTAACAAAGCAGCATCTACACTCTGGAAAAAAAAGAAAAGAAAAAAAAATTATAAATGGAAAATCAAAAGATATGAATAATATGAAAATATTTCATATAATTTGAGTATTTGATTTACCTTTGAACTTGATTCTCGCGGTAACATTGTTTCAAAAATACTACGATTACGATTATGAGCATCGATATCAACATATATCACAGACCAGGAAGCACCTTTTTCTCCAAACAAATTACAACCATTTATAGCTTCTAAAGCACTTTTTGCTATACCAATGGAACTTGCATGTATTTCAGGAGTCCCATCGTTATAACGACTTCCACGTTCCCACATTCCAAAATCTGGAGTTCTATATGCCCTTTCTACATAATATACAAGATTTTGTATGAAAGCTACTTCATCCTGAGTATATATAATTTGAAGTCCTGAAGAAATCATTTGTACTAAAAATATTAAATAGAGAGACACAATGTCAATCTAAAAAAAAAAATAATATATAATATATTAGAAAGAATTAATGTGAATTTGACAATATTTTGTATAAAATTAATATAAAAAATTCACTTGTAAATGATGATAATCTGTATCTTGAAGGATTTCATCCCCAGTATTTAAATGAAACTTGCAATGCAGAGCAAAACGATTTGATTGATTGCGTTTGAATAATTCTACTCTCGATGATTGTTTCATCCAACATTCTAAAATACCTCTCATACATTTTATTGCCGATTGACCAAGTTCATAAGACTTTCCACGATCGTCGTCTATACGTCTATGTAATAGAGTAAGATAAAATAATATAAATTATTATGGAAATAAAGAAAATATATGTTTTATTAATAAATACCGATATGCTTGATATAAACTCCATATTGCAGCAGCACAATAAATACTTTCACGTATACTTCCAATTACTTTATCAGTTGTGATTTGTGGAAATAATCCAGTTATACAACTTTGATAGCGAAGTAATTGTCGTTTCACTGAATAGAAGAAAAAATGATATATCTTTATATGAAGAAATCATATTAAATCTATTAATACTACAAATATATAAATATTTTCTTACCAATTCCATAATAAATATCTAGCTGTTTGACTGTATCCTCATAATTAGTAATTTTAAGGAACATATCCATATCAATATCAATGATACTGGCTTGACGTACATTTCTGATTTGAGAAAATCTGAAAGTTAAAAGAAAATTTCATTCAAAGATTTTCTTTTCGTTATATCAACGTTTTAAAGAAAAGAGAATATAAAAACAAACCTTTTTGCATTTGGTGATGTTATATTAAGAGAAGCCATTTTATTATAATATATGCACACAAAATATTTTTTAATATTAAATATAGTTTAGAAAATTTTCATTAAAAACAACATTATTTTTTTGTTTTATATAAAAAGAATATTACAATCTATTGTTATGTTTACTTTATTTTTATTCTTACGAAATCACTAGAGTTCTTATTTTTCAACGAAATTATATTTTAATTCTCTCTCTCTCTCTCTCTCTCTCTCTCTCTCTCTCTCTCCCCCCCTGTCACACTAACGAAACAGATTAAATAATTGAATAATTGATAGTTAATATTTTGTTTTCTCGTAAGTTGTAAGATTTATTCGAAAAAAATACTTATGATTAAAGGCCAGACAAAGGATTGTTCTGCTCTTATATGTTTTTAAAGCACAAAACTATACAGATCTATAGGTTATAAATAGAAGAATTGAAAATCATCTGACGTAACGTTGAATAAGTATAGAATTTGGCATAGAAAGCTTTGTTCAATGAATTTAAAAACGTCAGCATATCAAAAATTGAAAAACATCTATTACAGCTAAATTCATCGTAATCAAAAGTTTTATATAATTTTTCATCAGAAATAATTTAAATTTCTGTCGGATATTAAATAATTAATGTAATACATCATCATAAAAATTTATTTTATTGGAACGTCAATAACGTTAATAGTATGATCAAATGGGCGTAGAAGAAATATTAAATTGAACGAAGTAGAAGGAACTTCCTCTAATTTTCTCTTTTTTTTTTTTTTTTTTTTTTTTTCTATAGCGTCTGTGACGGAAAGAGTTCAAATGCGCAAGTGCAAAGTTGGATTTACAACATGGTGGAACGTAGGAAAGGCAGAAAACGCAAAGATGTAAGCATCGCATATTCAATTACTTCCTACGATATGTTTTTGATGTCGCAATAGATTATTACTTGATTGGAATTATCTGCATTATTACTTATGTTTTTTTTTTCTGTGCTTATTTTGAAATATCGTCTTTAGTACACGTGTCACGATTGATGTCTTCTTCTCAATTTTCAACAGTATTAAACAGGATGACGTAGATGGAATACATTTCTCGATATTTCCTATGCCTTTTTTATTATATACTTTTAATTTTGTACATGTTTTTACGATTTTTAATTGTAAAATATATATTTTGATATATATATACATATATATATATATATATACATGTGTATATATATATATATTATGTATGTATATATGTATATGTGTGGAAAATAACAATTATTTTCTCGAAATATTTGAAAATATCTTATCATCTTCCTTTCCGGCTAATTTTTTTATGTGAAATGTAAATAATTATTACATCCTCAGTATACATTAAAAATACGTTTTATTTCTGAAATAGGAAATTTCAAGTTTAGATAATGAAATTGCTCAGGATAAACCATCGAAAGAAGAATATGCTGTAGCCAAGTGGATTCGTAACAATGTACCTTCCAAAAAGACTAAATTTGACAGAAATCATAATGTTGAATATTTCACTGGTACTCGTGCAGTCGATGCACTATTGGAAAACTCACCCTGGAGTAAGACTAGATTCGAGACTCGAGAACAAGTTACAAAATTTCTTGACATTATGTTGAGGCACAAGTTTTTCCATAGAGCTAAAAAAGTAGTAATATCTGAAGAGGAGCTTTGTAAAATTCGTGGTATTAAGAAGAAAATTAAAGAACCAAAGGAAGAGAAGAAGTCTAATGAAAAAGAAAAAGAAGATCTAAAGGAAAATAAAGATGCATCAAATAAAGATAATGAAGAAAAATCTGATGAACGAAAAGAAATTAAGAAGAAATCAAAAGTGAGTTATTATCCTTAGACAACATTAAAAATATTATATACCTTTTTAGATAGATCAATGTTTTATCGTTATAGGTGCGACTTGAAATGCATATGGAACAATATTTCGTAGATTGTAATGATGCTTACGTTTGGATATACGAACCAATACCAGTTTATTATTGGTTTTTTGGTACCTTGGTAGTATTAGGAGCAATTGGACTTTGTTTATTCCCGTTATGGCCCCTAACTATTCGTCAGGGAGTATATTATTTAAGCGTAGCTGCTGCTGGATTGCTTGTATTCATCCTTGCATTAACTATTCTTAGAATGATCGTATTCTGTCTTCTTTGGGTACCTACTCTTGGTAGGTGTCATTTTTGGTTATTACCCAATTTGATAGCAGACGTTGGCTTTTTCGCATCATTCTGGCCATTATATCAGGTAAATTTTCATTTGCTAAATGATGAATTCTTATAGAATTATAAAATGTAAAATAATTATATGGTATTTTGTTACTTCTTAGTATGAATATTATGGTGCTTCAAATGAAAGCGATAAAAGAGGTAGTAAAAAGAAAAAGAAGAAGGACAAAGATTCTGATACTGAAGAAGCCCCTAGTACGTCTACGTAAGTAAATGGATAAAAAAAGGTTATTTTATAATCTTGAATATTAGAAATACTTTTATTGTTATTTTTGTTTATAGCGAAGATAGATCTAATATGGAAGAATTACCAAAGGATGAGACAAACAGAATCGAAGAGATTTCTAATGGAGACAATAAGAAAGTTTCTGTTAGCGAATCAGCAGAAGGTTCTGAGGGTAGTGAAGAAGGTTCAGAAAGTGAAAAATCAAATACAGGTCGTGATTTTGTAATGGTATAAAACATATATTGTGGCATTAATTATCTCCATGTTCATTTGAACAAGTAAAAATTAATTCGATGATTAATCGTTAAAATTGACATATGCTTTTATGTACATTACTAATGCATAACTGTCAAATAATCAGGTTATTATAATTAATTTGATAATTTGAGGGACGGGAAAAGATGTTAATGTCAAAGTACTATGGAAAAAGTGAAAATATCTTTTGGTGTACAATCCATTTCTTAATAGATAAAAAAACAAACAAAAAATATCAGACGGATATACTTGTACCAGAAATTCTGCATTTTGTGCATTTAGGATATTGCAGATGGACAAATAAAAAATTTGTCTGCATTTTGTACGAAGAGAATTTATTGTTGAAGATAGTGTGGAATATGTAATATCAGAATATTATATCGCTTTCTCGCGATGATTTAACTTTCTTTATATATATATATATATATATATATATATATATATATATATAAATATATATAACAATATATATATATATATATATTGTTTGTAAGTTATAAAAAGTAAAGTGTTATAAACGTGTTTTACTACGTTATTAGAAGTACTTAATCAATAATTGAAAATATTGGATTAAAAGGAATGCAATAAATTTTCTTCTTTACTGTTGTACCTTTCTATTTCATAAAATACAATAGTTGGAAGAATGAAACTCGTGTGCGTGGAACTCTAATATTTTCATAATTGTTCATCGAAAGTATTTGCGATTTCTTCTTTCTAGTAGATCAGAAATTGTCTTTTTAAAGGTGCGTATATTGCACGTTTAATACGATAGAATGTAATTTATATTTTTATTGAAGATTCCAATGATAATTATTTTGTGTAATCATTATTATTAATGTGGATATATCAATTGGATCATTGTAGGCGCATGATTCATAAATCTATATTCAAATAAAGGGTAACAATGAAGAGAATCACGTTAATGACGATTGATCAGTATAAAAAAAAGAGAAGATTTATAATTTCATTTAAAACTTTTGTATAATTTAATATATCATTTCTCATTTAACATGTCATTTTCACAGATCTGATCCTTCTGTTATTAGAATTAGCGACGATATCGTCAATGACGAGTGGATTTCAGAATAATTTCACGTAACATAGCATTACACATAGCTGCATAAGGATTTAAAGAAACGAGCTGTGATTTGGCAAAGCTCGAACCAGCTTCGGCTGCCAGCGTAAAATCTTCTTTAGCTTTTTGATCCTCCTTCATGTAACGATACAATATTCCACGTTGGCAAAGCGCCTGAATGCCTGCTTTTCCTTTTCCTTGGCTAAGTTTAACTGCCATATGCAGATCCTCTAATGCTTCTATGAAAGGTGTAAGTTCCGAATATTACATCATACGTTTTATCATTAGCAATTATTATTTTCTTTTTATCAATAGATATGCGCAATATCGTTATGTCACAGTATTTCCTAGTATATTGAATCGTTTTTCTTTTTTTTTATGTCAAATAATAAATTATTCCATTACCATTATCACGACCAGCTAAACGAAATGCTTGAGCTCTATCATTCAAAATGGATGGGGAAGAAGGTGCTTTCTTTAAAGCTTCCTCAAATAAACGAAAAGATTCATCAAAATTTTCGGACTCTGCGTGAGATATAGCCTGTTTCAAGATATCCCAAATGTTCTCGGGTAAAGCATCTCTTTCGTTTTGATTCAATGCGTCTGAAAAAATACATAAAGAGATTGTAAGAAGTCGCAACATTTAAAAAGGACAAAAAAAAAGAACTACGTACCAGGATCATTATATTCTGAAAAATCAATCGATCCATGCGCTTGAATTGGATCAAATATTACGTTTAAGACGACACGATCACGTTCGCTCAATCGCTCCATTTCTACTGAATATTTAAGATATTCTATTTTTCTTTGGTATTGGTAGAAAACTCGTTTCTGCTTATCACGAATGAATTAACTTGTTTCCAAAGCGACACCATACCGAATGCGTCATTATTTAAATTATACCGGTTATTTTACATAAAGGTGTGATATGTATAATATAATGTTAAAAACGTATTAGTTTTAGGAGTTCCAATGCTTTGAAATTTGTTTGTCATTATTCGTTGTAATAAATTTACCGGTTTCACATGGAAAATTTTAAAAGGAAGTAGATAATTAGGATTTTAAAAAGAAAAAGAAGTAGAAGCTCGATGCATACGACACGATAAAGATCTTTTTTCTCGGATATGCAAATTTATCGGTTGTACTGTTAAACAGCTATTTTGTTCATTTAACGTTCTCACGTTTCCCACGAAGCGAAGATATAAGCGCGCTAAGAAAACTTTTGCATCACGGAAGCCGACGCACGTTGCATTTATCAACTACGAAGCTCTTGGATTCTCGTTTCTCATTTAGAAAATAGACTTGTCATTCTGTTTGCTTTCAACTTCCGTGAGTTTATCGAATTATTAGATACTTCTTAAGTAACATATTACATATTGATTAAATTATTAGATACTTCTTAACTAAAATATTACATATCGATTAATTTCTTTTTTTAATAATTTGATTTTAATTTTTTTTTTTTTTTTTTTTTTTAAAGAAATCATCAATTATGTATGAAAGGTGAAATACATTAGATCGTTATTAGAAATTCTGTTGGAAAAGTTCCTGTATTTAACTAAGAATAAATTTGAAGGAATAGGACCGCAGGTAAAAGATTCTTTTTGTTATTCGTAAGAGCGAAGATGTATCTGGTGGTCCTTAGGTTGCATAGTACACATGGTACTATGCGGGGAGGGCTCCGTCACGAAGGCGAAGTTAACTGCCCATAACTCATAGCCGACATATAATAAATATCGTTACTCCATAGTGAGCACACGTGGACTTTCGCGAAGTGGTTTATAAGCATATATGAAACGTACGTGAAGCATGGAGGGACCTCACGTATATTCTGTGTATAACGTCGACCGAACATAAACGTTCGGCGGTATGTGTCTACGCCTTTTCGCCTTGCTTGTTCGATGGAGAAGATTCTTCTTAGATTTTTCGCGCTTAAGCTTTTGCCCTTTAACGGCCAAGCTCGTCAACGAAGGGTGATATCTCATGGACGAGTAACGTTATATTTTTCTTGGAATTTTTAAATGATCAGGATAAAAGCGTACGTCTTTCTTCTTTCTTTTTTTTTTTTCTTTTCCTTTTTTTATATTATCAGCCCTCGTTATAATTCCTTTTATTAATTTCATTTTATTTTTTGTAGAGGAATGTGTCCTGTCGACCAACAAAACGAAAAAAAAGAAAAAAAATAAAGATCGTGCAAGAGGACGAACCCTTGAAATAAGGATAAGAAAAAATATCCTGCGTGACCGACCGCCGCAGTTTGTGGTTACAATAAACAAGGAAGAAAAAAGGTGCATCTCTGTCTCTCTCTCTCTCTCTCTCTCTCTCTCTCTCTTTCTCACTACGTGCATACGTTCGTCTTCTATTTCTCTCTCTCTCTCTCTCTCTGTCTCTCTCTTTCTCTCTTTGCAGAGTTAGCTCCTATCTCCTTCCAACTCTTCTCCCTTCGCCCTTTGCGCATATGTACCTTACGCCGAGTGCAGACAACCGGATTTATATTCAAATGAATCGCCGTAGAAGGGTCGACTTATCAACGTATCGCGGTCGATGAAGCAAAAAGACAAAAGGAGCAAAGGGAGTCTCAGAGTTTCAAGAATAAAAATAATATATGCAAGGTTCGTATTTTTATTTTTTTTTTTCTTTTTTTTTCGTTTTTTCTTTTGCTTTTCTTCTTTCTTTCTTTTTTCTTTCTTTCTTTCTTTCTTTCTTTCTTTCTTTCTTTCTTCTTTTTTATTTTGAAATTAGACACATAGATTTTTATCACGATAAATCCTAAAATGTCATTTATTTATGTATAAGTATATTTATTTTCATAATTTTGATACATTTTCATTTTAATTTAAGTTAAAAGAAAGTTAAAAAGTTAAAAAAAAAAGAAAAATTTGCGTGAAACAAGACTCGGCAGTATTAATCTTCTCAGTATCAGTAAAGTAATACTAAGTTTGAAAGTTGCGGAATAGTTGGATGGATTTTCGTTCGACTTGTAAATCTATCATTGTTTTTCGAGATCAGAATTATTGGTACGACGATATTCTCCGTTCGTCCTGGTACATACATGACTTTATTTAGCTTTAGTTCGTCGAAACCGGTTACAAGCGAATGCTCCTCTCTCTCTCTCTCTTTCTCTCTTTCTCTCTCTCTCTCTTTTTCTTTCTCTCTTTCAAGCATCGAGCTCGCCAGTCCCCAATACCATGGCGCAACTCAGAGATTTGGTGTACAACCAGCGAGTTTTCGGCTTTGCGTACCAGCTCCGTGGAATTTCACGCGAGAAAGAAAAAGAGAGAATAACTTGTGCCGACCGAACTCATACCATCGAGAACACTTTATTTTTCTAAAATATTTTCGATTCAATACAGTCTCTCGTTTATTATATTATTAGGGATATAATAATTTTTCAAACGTTTCTTTATGCAAAGAAAAAAAAATATGTATATACACACACACACACACACATATATATATATATACACGTATATATATAATGTATATTTATATATAAATGTATAATAAATAAGTTTCGTTTTCGTAAGACACGAATCAAAATCAATTTGTCTTTATATTTTCAATTTTTTTTTCTCAATTATTCAAGGACATATAAGAATAAATGGAAATCCTGAATTTCTTTAATCATATCTAACTTTTTTTCGAAGTTTGTAAAGCTTATGTCTAAATTCTTTCTTTTTACGTCGACGTGAAAGGGAAACGATTTACCGTACCTTACATTAGATCGCGTGGGTAGCTTGCGTCATTAAGCACGGTACTATACGGTACAAGAATGACTTTGGCTTTGGTGGAGAAAGTGACCGGGTGTGGCTTTGCATTGCTCTTCGAAATTATTGTATACTTCTCGAAGGGATCGTTTTTGGATATTGAATAATAATTCGTTTAAATATTTTCATCGTCGTGCTTTCAAATTACATATCTAATAACAACGTTTTTAATCGTAATATTATAAACCTTAATTCGTTAATAGAGAGAAATAGAATATAATTATAAATTTAATGCAAATCTTAATTAAAAAAAAAAAAAAAAAGAAAAACATTTGTCTCAAGGATGTTTTAAGAAGAAATATATTTGTAGCCTTTTTATTTCTGATACAAAAAATATTATCAAATTTATGAAAACATATGTATGCAATTTTTGAGCTTTGAAACATCCTGTACCATGGTATCACGAAGTCGAGACCCGTACCGATGTGCAAACGGTTTGTCCGGTTTTCGAGACAAAGGGTTCGTCGAACTCCGGAGTGCAGGGTTCGATCGGCAGAGCTACCGAATGTCTCCTTACGAGTAAGATCGTCGATCTATGACGTGAACGCACCCACGTACATATATCGACTCTAGCATACATATAAGTTTGTTACGAGAATGAAAGGAAACGTACCGCTATGTCGCATCCTCGAGATTTGACCTCAAAGGGAATCGTTAAAAAGATGCAACGGTCGGTTCTTCATTTTATTTTTGTTTGTTTGTATTTTTTATCTCCTTTTTTCTTTCTCTCTCTTTTTTTCTTTTTTTTTTTTTTTTTTTTTTTCTTTTTTATTTGAATCAAAGAGATCGCGTATGCAGAGCTATTTATCTGACGAGGAAAAATGGTAATCAGAAGGAAGTACTAGAAATGACGAAGAATTAATGACTTTTCACGTTCTAATAGAGATATGACGATGAATGAAAAGTTCGAACTTGAAATTGCTTCTGGTAATATTCTTTGAATTTGTCCAAATGTTATTTTAATTATTTACTTTTTTCTTTTTCTTTGTTTTTTTTTTTTTTTTTTTTTTCAATCTTACCTCGCCTACGATTATTGAAAGGGCGTCCTGTCAACTTTTTGCTATGGAATTTCGACTGTCCACGTCGTCGTTCGAAGTCACAGAGTTCGTTAAACGCAACTTCGATCGTTCTCCATCCTTCTCCTCCCCCTCTTTCTCCATCGTTTCTTCCTCTTTCTTCTTCTTCGTCGTTTCTTGCTTCGAGCCGAGACGAACCTTTGGCCATTGTTAATACTTTTTCGAGGTTATTACATGTCCGATATGTAAATGCATCGGCGGAGTCCGGTCCTCGACATCGGAGGACCAACTCCTCTCGCTCTCTTTCTCCTACTATGTCTCTCTTTCTCTTAAGCTCCTTTATTCCTCACACAGTATTCTCTCTTTTCTTTACAGGGACGCAGCCGATCCCACCGCTTTCAGTGAAAGTAAATACAGTGTGTATAATTTTCAATTAAAAACAAAAAAAAAAATAAAAAAAAGATAAAAAAAAATAAAAAAAAGTAAATAAATAAAAAAAAAAAACAAGAAAATAAAATAAAATAAAGAAAAGAAAAAAATCCTAATCAATCTTAAATTGTACGCGCATCATCATTGGATCCTTAAAGATGTACATAAACGTGTAAAAAAAAGAAATAATTCTCTCGAGAAAGTCAATTGAACCGGCCTGATGATTTTGTTTAAGTGGATGGTTAGTTAGTAAAGAAAAAAAAAAAAAAGAGAAAAAAAAAAAATAAAAGCGTTAACAAATTAAAAAATTTATTTATTGTATATTGTCTTGCCTTTGGCATTTCTTTTTAGATTCGTAGCATCCGATCCTGGTCCGCGGCACGACCATCACCACAACAGCACTACTACCACCACCACCACCACCACCATCACCTCCACCATCGCCATGCCATCGTCATCACCATCTCCCTGATTCCTCTGTAACGGATAGGCTTCACCTCCGCAGGACGGAACTCTAGTCCGCTTCCAGTTTCGCCCTCGAGAGTTCTTCGCGGTTTAGTAGGAACGTGCCTCTCGCAACGTGCACCTCGAGCTCCTCGATGCTCCACACTTCTTTATCAAATACGACGACTATTCTCTGGGCAAATTAAAATTATCAATTAAAATTTGTTTTAATTCGATCGTTAACAAAGGCCGAATTTTTTTATTCGCGTTGTTTTTCAATATTTGTTGGAAAAAAAAGCGCGGGAAGATTCGAAGAAGGATAGTTTCAAAGCTGAAAAGTGACTCGCAGAAAGAGGATGCACGTGGAAGTTTCTTCACGTTTTTTACGAAGGATGAGGAGAAGGGTCTGAGAGAGAGAGAGAGAGAGAGAGATAGAGAGAGATAGAGAGAAATAGACAGACAGACAGACAGAGACACAAAAAGAAAGAGAGAGAGAGAGAGGTTAAATATTACTTAAAAAATAAATTCGATTAATTCTATCTTCATTATTTTCTTTCAATCGCAATCAAGAAAAACGTTTCGTTACATCTGCACGCAGTTTCAACTTTTCCCTTAACTTTTTTTTTTATTTCCTTGACTTCGCTCCAGTCTACTTACGTTCGAACTTGTTCGACGATTATCGCCTTTAAAGATCGTTGAACGTTCCTGCGTATGTACTTTTTTACGGTTCGCTGTTAGGTCTTTCAAATCTCTATCCCATGATCTCTTTCCTGTCGTCTTATCATCGTGACCCGGTTATTGCAACGCATCCATCCTTAGCGATAGCGTGCGTTTAAGTATTTATCGTGAAAGCACGTTTATTCGTACCCTGGCTCATAAATTATAGAAGATTTAAGGCTCAAGGTAACAAGCATGTCAAATGCTAATTTCTTTGGCTTTATTTATCGGTATTACGAGACACGTGCTTTTCCATTTCCGTTTATTAAGGAAAACGTTTCTCGGGAAAATTATCGTTGTTTCAAAATCATAATGAAAATCAGTTTGATGAGAAAATGAAAAGGAAAGAGAGAGAGAGAGAGAGAGAGAGAGAGAGAAAGATAGAAAAAATAGGAAAGTATGTCAGTTCTGATTCTGATTATTTTTAGAAGTCGGAGAAGAAAAACATCCTGAGGAAAGAAAAGGCGATCCCTTATACGTAAGGATGCGAGTGCGTAGGAGAAGATACACGAAGCGGTGACGACACACGGATTTGTCTCGACATGAGGCTAAGTCCAATTTTTTTATCATGCGCCACGGCGAGCTGGCTCGGTCCTGCCGAGGCTATTCGAAGCCCTTCTTATTCGAAGGACTACGAATTATCAACAGAGTTCTTCCTGGTGCCGTCGGAGGATACGGCCGATAGAAATGGTTTAGCTAGCGTGGCTAGTGTTATCAGCGTGCCAGCACCCAATAGAACCGTATCCGTCTTCAGAATGCCAACGAGGAAGGGCCAAGAACGCGAAACCGAATCTACCAGGCCACCGAGCTCGCGTTTCCTTCTCAGACAACGACCTTGGGCTCTTCCCCTTGCAGCCCTAAGTGCCGCAGCGATGCTTCTTATGGCTGGTTTCGAGGTTTTCGTACTTCTCAAGGTTGGTCAATGCTCCAAACGGAAAATCAAATTAACATTTTATTATTCTACGACATTTATTTTTCTTTTTTTTTTTTTTCTTTTTTTGTAATTTAAAGTAATTAAATAAAATATCGGTATTTATCATTTTAAATCATCTTTGGACATAGACGAAAGAACATCGAGTTCTAAAGAAATAAGATTCTGACCGAGATTTTCCATTGATCCTAAACCATAGTTGTAATATACTATTTTCGATTGAATTTCTTCGACAAGCTCCGATAATCTAAGAGAATTTCGCCGAGACCTAGGCCTAGTTTGTTCAACGTTTCTCCGTACGACGTGTCTCGTCTAGGTTGCGTATTGCCACGCTCCATTGGGCCACGAGCAAACGAGTCGAGAAAGGCCGTGATAGTAAAACGAGTTTGTTCGCTATCACACGCGTGAGACGTAGACGCTCTATTATTATCATACCATTACTATCTCGTTACCGTTCTTGTCGTTAGAGGAAGTTGCCGATTACGCTTGCACTTTTACGGTTACTCGTTCAATCTCAACGAGCAATAATATAATTGTATGTATATACCGTATTTATGTATATATGTATATATATATGTGTATATATGTGTATATATATATATATATACATAATATATTCTTTATTATAATTAGAGAAATTAATCTACGCTCATCGGGAAAGATGATCTGATTTAATTTGCTTACGATTATGGCGCGTTCCTCCATATATAATCTGGAGCAAGACGGTAGCTACTTGTTTCATATTCGTTATTTACCTTACTCTGAATCACTCATAATGATTCGAATATCAAATCGAGATCGATGATAAAACGATCATATTACCATTAATTTAATCGAGAGGAAGGTTTTTTTTTCTCTCTCTCTCTCTCTTTCTTTCTCTCTCTCTCTCTCTCTCTCTCTCTATCCTTATAAAAATATATTCCTCGTGAAAATAATATATTCATAATGTATTTCAGGCAAGAGCAGCAGCTCCAAACAGACGTCACTTGTTCCTAGGCCAAGCCCTTTTACTTGGTCTTTTTCTTTTGGCTGGACTCTCAGCTGCAGCTTCTCTCAGCCAAAATCCTCTTTCTTGTGCAGCCTTCAGACTAGTCGGTTTACCAGCGGCCCTCGTATTTGCGGCCCTTCTCGTCAAATGCGTCTTCCTTCTTTCATTGAACAGCGGTGTCTATTTACCAGCACCTTATCAAGTTAGTAATAATTATCAATGAATAATAATTAGTAATAATTATCAGAATATTTTTAATGTTTCCAAAAATTCAAAGATTTCCAGAGATAAATGGAAATTTGATTCTATTGGCAAAGATATATAATTTGTTATTGCGGTTTCGAGAAAGGTTTTTATATTTAAGAATATCAAAGAGATCCGGTCTTGTTTCTCGATCTGCGGTAAAGCGATCACGCGAGCGCTCGATATGAATGAAAAGCTTATTTGTAGTTGTGTATAGGCAACACGTATATACAATAGTGAGTTAATGTATAGAAACTCGTGGGACGACTTAGACCGTGAATACTCGGAATTTTTCACGTTCGGTCTGTGCCAACGATCAGGATGCCGATGGTATACGACTATTCGCGCAAAAGCAACGTGTAACTATCATTGACAGATTGGAAAGTATAATATCAACATATATGCACATATATATATATATATATGTATACACGCACGGTTGAATAATTCTTTTTACTTCACCGCAGGCTTTGGTACTGGTATTTGCTGTACTGGTACAAGTAGCTATCGTCGGCCAATGGTTTTATGGAGAACCACCCGCGGTTATACAAGTTCAAAATGTGGATCAGAATGGTCCTCTATTGGGTTGCAAAACTCCCCTCGGACAGACAGTGGCTTCCCTAGGGTAAACTTTTGAAATGTAACTTTTGGGCAGATACATACGTTAGACATACTTTAGAAATTATGAATATTACAAAAAAAAAAAGAAAAAGAAACTATTGATTTTTCATTATTTTCATTTTTTATTTTAGATATCCAGGGATATTGTTAATAGCGGTTGCCTGTTTAGCCGTTCGAGCACGTGGCGTACGTGATAATAACAGGGAAGCTGCTTTTATCGGACTCGCCGTTGGTCTGTCATTGCCGATTTGGATATCAAGCGCAATTGGCTCTACAGTAGCCTCCTCCGAGAGCGATAAGGAGGCGTGGCTGGCCTACGGCCTCCTTACTACATCGTTCCTCGTTTTTTTGACGATGTTCCTGCCGAAGGGTCGACAATTGGCTGCACTTGGTCGTGAAGGACCTACAACCGTCATTCGAGATCGCGATGACGCACTCAGCTCTCTACCTGGCAGCGGTTACTCTCCTTCCTTTTTCCATTTTAAACCTGCTGAGACGTCCTTGAAGAGGAAGATGCACTATCACAGCGCTGGTACGTTAGAATAAATGAATTTCGACGATTTCACCCGATCCTTCGTAAATTTCTCTTGTTGTTTTGCACGCACGCTCGCGTTGCGCGATTACGTTTCTTTCTCAACTGCGATGAGTTTCCTTTCGATTCGCATCTACGATATCTGTTTCTACACGGTAAATTTAGACCTTAGGCATATCCGAAGTATAAACGAATTAATGGGCATTTGGAAAGGACGTAATCCGTTCGAAAGGAAAATATTGAGAATCACTTTCACACGTTTTCGCTGCAGATCGTGTCGCGCTGGTCTCATCGGGAATACCTGGTTGCAGCGCTTGCAGACACGGGGGAAGTCCAATATATTCCGATGGTAAGTCGTCGTGCGTTCAATTCTACAACAACGATTTGAAATGATCGTTTTGTCGTTTTTTTCATATCAACTTTTTTCCTCGTTCGATGCTCCTTCGATCAAGATTCTCTCGATTCATCATTTATCGAATATCTAAACCCAGGCATTCTTGGTATTTTTCGCTTGAGAGAAAATTCCATGATAAATTTACAACGCGTAGTAACGTGTAATAAAGTCGCTCTCGACGCCTTCAAGGCGACATGTCGCCTCTTCTTGCCGTGCATTTTTCTTCAACATAATTGGTTCCTCGTTTACGCTCTTGACTTCTCGCGACCTTCAACTCGTAGGGATCAAACCAAAGGGAAGAAAAATCTTGTGCGATGGCTAGGGATGCAAGAGAAAGAGAAGTAAACAGCAAAGAGAGACAGAGAGAGAAAGAGAGAGAGAGAGAGAGAGAGAGAGAGAGAGAGAGAGAAAGTTCCAAGACGAGGGTCAAGCACTTCTTCGGCGTTTAAAGGAAGAAGAGGGGAAAAAGGATACCGTTAGATCGGACGAACGACATCGTCGAATGGCCTGCAAGTTGCGCTTTCGCTCTTAAAAAAAAACAAAAAGGAATGATCATTTGTATATATGTATTAACATATTTTCCAATTTTAATTTCGCTCGATAATTTGGACTCGAGTCCGAATGAATTTGTTAACAAATGAAAATATTAACAATATAGTTATACTACTTGGATATGTAGATTCGTTTAAAATTCATTTCGATGATAATTATCCTTTTTTTTTGTCTCGATTAGTCAATAATTACATCAACGTTCTAAGTATTTTATTCAGGTCGAAAGCGTAAAACACAAACGAGAAGCTTCATAATGCGATACGTCTCTCTTTACCGTAATGTTCATTATTACGAGCAAGGCGTGGAATATACTGGAAATTACGACCTAAAGGTCACTAGCCCCTTGGCCATTCACTTAAACACATCAAACCCCTCTCGCACCTACTTCAGAGTTTTTATATGACTTTTTGTTTTCCTTTTTTTTTCCTTCTTTTTTGCTTGGCGAGGTGAAGGAACGGGGCGGAGCGGGGCGCGGAGAAGCGGCAAAAGGGTGGAGGGAGAGAACGAAATAATGAATCTTTTGATGAGACAGAACTGCGATTAAAAACCCGCATATAAGAGACAACGGATTAATCATAGACGATCATGATGCGAGTTCTTTGACAATGATACTTTAGAATCCTTTCAAAATGAATGACTTTGTTTTATTTGTTTTTTTCCTTGTTGATTTGGATTATAACGATATATATATATATATATATATATATATATATATGTATGTATGTATGTATATATACGTACGTATATATAATGAGAAATGTGGAATATTTATTATACTGTATACCCACGGAGGGACATATTACGAGCTATTGGAGAAGTATGAAATGACGTTTATGGTCAGCCGCATAAGTAGAACACTATTATCGATGTCAGACACCGATAAACCGCATTAATAAATTGTACTGTGATCTTTTACGTTGGTCATATTTTATTAAATATTTCTAGTTTATTAATACAACGAACAGAAGATTTTTTTTTTTTTTTTTTATTATAGAAGATCGATATTTTGGCAAATATTTCTAATATTTTTGTTTAACAAAATATATTTTATATTAAAAATTGATCTATACGTGTATGTGATCTGGATAAGTTCAATTATTTTTATTAAAAATCTTTGTGTATTTGAAGTTGATTATTTGATAATTTTTAAAATGGAGATATGCGCTGTATATTAGAAAATACTTGTACTACTTAAATAATATGTATGTTTTCTCTTCCTCATTTTCAGAGGTTCATGGACCGATGGAGACGTTTGTTCTACCGACCGGTATGTATTTAAGGCCGGAGGATGCTGGAAATCTCTACACGACTCTATCAGCGAATCCCAACGTATTTTTCCAGAGAGCTACGCACCCGGGGATGATGTATTGATCCCTTCTTTTAATCGACGCGAAAGAACTTTATTCAAATATTTGAATTTAATTTAACGAGAAGATCCGCGGCTTTATAATTCTTCGCGTTAGATTACGATCAATGATCGAGATAATTACATCGATTGTAAATATTTACGTTGCATTTAGTATTTGACAAATTTTGTCAATGTCTGGACGAAGAATAATATTGAACGTACGCCGAGTGATATGTTTGTGCGAATAAACATCTTTCTTTTATATAATATACAATTTTTTATATTACATTGTTTTTTCATAAAAAGTGAGCCACGAGTTTCGTACTATAAAATAATCATTTCAATTAATGACAAATGATGATAAACCATTGGATCATTCGATTTTATTAATTTTTAAAAAATTAATTTTATATTTTTGACGGATGAGTGAAAAATTAATAAACTATTTTACTCGTCGATCGTTATGAGACAGAAAGCATTGATTTTTTTTCTTTTTTTTTTTTCTTTCTTTTTTTTCTCTCTTTTTTTCTCTTTTTTCTTTTTTTTTGACGAATGTTTCACGTACGAATAAAAAGATAAAAATTTGCATACACACGATGGCAGATATTACGATAATTAAACTTTAAGTAAATAAAATTTGAAAGTCGATTTAATGGAGGATATGTGATGTAAAGAAATGTTTGCAAAAATAATCGATATAACTGCGAAAAAATAATGAATAAAGAAGGAGTATAGATCGGCTTTTGATAATTTAAAGAGGATCATGCTAGGGCACCAACGACAGGTTGCCGTTTTATGTCACGTGGTTACAGTTAAGCGGGGAAAGGTCTTCCCGTGTTGCTTGTTTCGAAATGTCAACAATTGTCAACAATATGGCCTTGTGAAGTAATCCGTATGTGGTAATAGCCAAACGTTTTTGTGCAATTAATATTGAATTAATTTATAAGAGTATAGCTCGATGGACTTCGATTGATACGTACACGTAATACGAACAGCATTAAAGATATGCACCATCCTAACCTTAAATTTAGTAATCAACATCAGTTTCACTAAGATAATAAAAATCTTTTAAAATTTTACATAACGGTAAACGAAATGGCAGAACAATTAGAAAGACTAAGGTAAGTTAGGTTTTAATTGATTATGTTTATGCATTTGTAAACAATTAAAATTAATCTTAATTGCAGAAAAAATAAATGTTGCAGTTAAACTAAAACATTTGTTTAAAAATGAAATTGTTAATCGAATTCTATATGCTTATTTATTTTCTCTTATTGTTAAGAATTTACTTTGTTACGTGGAACGTGGCCACTAAGTATCCTGTACAAGATTTACATCAACTTTTAAATATTACACATGGAAATATAAAATCTTTACCAGACATATATTTTATTGGGTATGTTTGATAATTTTAATGGCTAAAAAAATTGTTAGAAAAGTGAAATTGATTATATTTTGTATTAGACTACAGGAAGTAAAGGCACAACCTCAGAATATGGTATTAGATATTATTTTTCAAGAGGATCCATGGACCAAATCGTTCAGGCAAGTTTTTACAGAATTATAGTAATAATTTATCTATTACATCATGACAATTAAATGTTTTTAACCAATATAAATTCTATATGCCAACGCTAATAATTACAGAGAAGTATTAAAAGATAACGATTATGTGAAAATCCGTTCTCAACGGTTACAGGGTCTTGTTTTAAATATGTTCTGTTTAAGAAAACATATTACTCATTTAAGATTGGTAGAAGCACAATATACGAGAACAGGATTTGGTGGAATGTGGGTAAGAGTTAGATACTATAATTTGTATATATACAAATCATTTTTTTCAAAAAGAATAAATGTATTTATACATATATACATATGTATATATATATATATATATTTTAGGGTAATAAAGGTGCCGTAAGCATAAGATTGAATATATATGGCGTTAGCATTTGTGTAGTAAATACGCATTTAACGCCTCATGATCATCTATTAGCAGATAGAATAGCAGATTATAATACTATTCTTAGAGAACATTCTTTTAGTGCGCCTGACACATCAAACATTTTATATCATGAGTTTGTATTTATTTCTATATGCATATTAATTTCTATGTTAAGATAATGGAAAATTTGTTTTTATTTTCGTAGTTATGTATTTTGGATCGGGGACTTGAATTTTAGACTTCATGGGGAAGATCTGACTGCAGTTGATATTGATTTATTAGTTAAGAAAAATAAATTGGATCTACTTTTGGAAAGGGATCAATTGAAATTGGTGATGCGGAATGGCGATGCATTCGCAGAACTAAATGAAAACAATATTGAATTTCCTCCTACGTACAAATTTGAATTTGCTTCGCAGGAATTCGATCTCAAGTATATCACGATTTATACGTCTTATGAATAAATTATTAATTTAATTATAAGATTTAATTAAACGATTCAAAATTTGTATTTGAATATTTCTTTTGTAGACGCCGGCCATCTTGGACAGATAGAATTTTGTATAAAGTTAATGCAGACGTATATGACGATGTTACATTAAGCGCCCTACAACTTAATTACAAGAGTCATTCTAATTACATTCAATCTGATCACAAGCCTGTAACTGGTGAATTTGATATTATGGTATTGAAAATTGTTCTTTTCTTTTTTTTTCTTTTCCCCACATATATTCCTTATTTTGTAAACATACATATAAATATATTTATTTAGATCAGGCCAAATGTGGAAGACCATGGCGTAGAGTTTCAACCAGTTTCTGCTTGGTTTATAGACGAAGAAAATTCAGTATCGTATAAATTGATTGGAGATGTAAGACCAGTAAGTGGAGATTGGGTGGGTCTTTTTCATAATCAATTTTCTAGTTTAGATGAATATATCGTCTATGAATATGTTGTACGAGGTAAGAAGAGATACAATTTATTTGATTTATTTTATTAATATTTTTATATGTTGTCAAATAAGTTTTAATTACTGTTAGGTAGAACAGCAGAAACTTCAGAAGTGGAATCTTCCGAACCAATAACGGAAAGAATATTTTTTAGCGATTCGGCCCTTAGAATTCCTGGAATGTATCGTTTAGTTTATGTAGCGCAACGCGGTGATCTCAGAGGAATTCTTGGTATGAGTCCACCATTTCCAGGTCATCGCAGACCACTTTGATTGAATCTGTGCTCTAAATCCAGACAAATTAGTTGAATTATTTTCACGGTAATCTATAATTTAGGACTATTAATGAAAATGTTTTATCGATATATGATACGAATCAGTTTGATTTTGATCATTAATTTTAATTAACGGGCCTAAGAAGAATAATCGACAAAAAGGATTTACAAATTCTTTCTTTTTTTTGTGAATATAGAGTAATATATAAAAAAATAATGACAATTACGATTACAATAAAAAGAAAAGAAACATAAAATGTACGAATAGCTTGTTCATTTTCGGCATGTTAGTTACGTTAGAAATCGTATCGTTTCTAAATGAATTACAAACTTTTTTTTATAATATGGAAATTGGTTAATCAAGCGATTTCAGTGGAACTTTTAGCAAAGATTGAATAATTTTTAAATGCAGAAACAATTGATTTGATCTCATTTGACATATAATTACAAGAACAATTATTTTTTATTAATAAATGATACCCAAAATAGGAATAGTATATCGTACTGTTTAAATATCGCTTTTAAATGCCTTAACCATGAAAGGTTAATCGAATACTTATTTCTTGCTATTGTGATAATTCCATCGAACAAAGAAACATAATCTATAATATTCGTGTTGAAATTAATGGAGGAAAATATCTGGCATAATATTATATATATATATAGTTATTATATTATTAGATATTAGACAATTTTGTTTATAATATTTTTATGTTATTTTTGGTACCTGGTTAATGCTTCTGAGTTTATTGCTCGGATGCACTCGCACTTAATTACCTTATATCTCGAAGAGCTTATTAGAGTGAATTGACGCATTTTATAAATGTAATCAATTGTTGTAATCATATATGCACACGTGCACTCTTTTGAGACATTTTAGATCATTCGTTATTAAATAACGAGGCTTATTGACTGGATATGTAGGTCAATGTTATGACTTGCTATTTTAAAATTATATACCAGTTCAGGTTTACGATGTGTATGAATACAAAATAATAAATATATACAATGATATACATACATATATTATATATATATATACACGATATATATAACGATGAAAATAAAATGTAACAGTATTTTTTATCTGTGCATTTCATTGTTGAGTAAACCTTCATTCATTAATTAGAAGTATAAGATATTATTATAATTCGTATAAATATTTTTATTAAGAAAAATATTATCATTAAAATATTTACATGATCGGTTGTATTTAAATAGATAGATATATAAATAAATAATAATAATTGTCAATTAGACATTGAATAATATTAAAATAATGTATAATATATTGTAATGAAGTAACGATAACGAGAATATGACACGATGTAATTTACATGATTCCTTCAAGGTTTGTTTACAAGTTAAACGATAAAACGATCATTTAATAATAAAAAGAGAGATCATTTAATGATGAAAATGTTAGAATTAATGGCATATTACTTCGAATGGTTAGATAACAAATGTACAGATACATAAATAACACTCAGTTATACACCAATATAGCTGAGCATGGTGAGAAAACATGTTGTTATTAGATTGTTGCATAATTTCTTTAGCATTTTCTTAAAATACTCTCCTATGTTTGAATTTTTTCCTTAAAAATAACGTACAATCGAATAAACGTACATTTTTGTAACAGATAAAAAAAAAAAAATATACATTAAAATTTAACATAAAAGAACATTCCTAATTATATAATAATTAAATTCACGAAATAAACATATCAATTTTAATTTTTGTTTTATCAGTACGTTATCGAATTGAATTTTGACATTAAAAGTATATATATTTGTATATGTACATTAAATTTAATCGTTTTAATATAAAACACGAGACATAAATACAGTTGTCAATTACGTAATACCAAATATAGTCTTTATAAAGGTCAAGTTTATCACTTATTTATGAGGGCCAGCGATATTTTCTTTTTTCTTATATTTCTTTCTTTTTTTTTTTTTTTCCTTAATTTATGACCGTAAGTAAACTAAAAACAGCGGTATCAGTTTGTGGTTCAACGACGTCGATACCACGAAATCTTTGTATTCTATACCAAATGAGGTCTCTAGCTGGCCTACGAAGTACAAAGAGTCCAAAAATAAGAAGACCTTGTAAAGCATTCACTAGATCGTAGACGGACCAATCGAAGGGATTACCACCGGTAAACCATGATATTAATTCCATGGTCCAAGTTAAACTCATCAATGAATATAATACTATGCAGACTATAAATGTTCTCTTCAAACTACGAAACATCCTTTGGTCTTGCCGATCGGATTCCAGATTTCTGGCTAATCGTCTAAGCGATAGATCTTTTTGGTATCGTCTTATCGTTATTCCCGTTAAGATAAAAAATATTAAATTGACTAGTAAGAGCAACCCAACTGGCACAAAAAAGAATGGCATCGTCTTGATGTCCGCTATAATAATATATATATATATGTATATACATATATATTAGAAACATTTTTAATTGTTATAAAATATTGTTATGAATTGTTATTTAATGGAATGAACTTACGTTTAAACCAACAGTTGTCGTTTTCGCTAATGTCGTTTGGTTTTATATATATCATTGGTATCGTCGGGTTGAGATCCATTATTATAGATAAAAGAATAAAAATACCTGAAGATCCCCAAGCCCATATCGAGTAATAAAAAAAGAGTACATTAGGTTTTATTCTTTGGTAGGCAACATGATGAACGTGATTTCTTATTAACAACCATGTCTCGATGCACATTACGTTCAACCAGAAATAACATGCCACGAACGAGAATTCAATGATGAAGGCTGTAAAAAAGAATCTTTCGTTTAATATATTAATTATAAATAATAGAGCATGGTATTACATCAAAATGGGAAAAGGAGAGCAATGAGTTGATAATCAATTTAATTATTTTTATTACGTTCGATCGGTTATACCTTAAAGAGAATGAAATATTGATAGAATTTCAAATTGATCGATTTTTTTTGTTACACTTACCTATGCATATACATGTATGACCTTCCCAATGTACACCGCCAAGTTGCGTAATGGCTAAACCGGTGAACGCTAAAGCGAGACATCCACAATAATGGCAAAGTATTTTTCCATAGATATCTCTCAACCTGGGCGTTATTGAAAAGGCTATTATGGTGAGTATTAAAAATGGTACGGATATTAAAAGTCCACAGGCATAAAATATTATTCTAGTGTCTGCCATTAATATTTTATTATCTAAAATAAGAGAAATCGGTAACGCGTAATTTTTTTCTTTTTCTGTTTTTTTTCTTTTTTTTTTTTTTTTTTTATTGTCTTGAAGATTTTAACAATGACGTTCATTTTTCGTTGAACGTTTATCAATTTATATACCTTTCGGAAAGCATATCACTATTACCAGACCTAACGTTGGGGTGATTTCCATGCAATAATCTTGTCCAGGCATGAGGATACGAGGAATAGAGTCGGGTAAAGAAATTGAACCGTTAAGTAAAAGATAATGGTCTTCTTCTTGATCGTTTTGTTGTATTACCGAGACTCTGAAATAAAAAAGAAAAGAAAAGAAAAGAAAGGAAAAAAACAAAAAAGAATGCTTCTCATTAAAAATAATTTGAAATTGTTGAACGCGGAGAAGTTAATGCGAACGATTCTTCTTCCTCGTATACCGATAAAAAAAACCCCAAATATATTTATTCGATGATTGTTTTATCGATTGGAAGACGATCACGGCACATTCCAATGGATCGTTAAAAAATATATGATAGGTTTACGTAAGAATACAATGATAAACTCTACGTTGAAACTGATTACGATGATACTTGGTGATACTTGATCCGGCCGAACATTGATAAGCCCGAAGAAATAATAATTTTTCTTTTTTCTTTCTTTCTTTTCTTCTTTTTTTTTTTTTTTTTTTTTTTTTTTAACGATAGATAAATAATATTCTTCATAAAAAAAACCTACCTGCAACATCGCGTTTATAATCAAGATTGTTTTTCTTTTCTCTATCTCTTTCTCCTCCCTCCCTCCCCCCTCTTTCTCTTCACATTTCGAATAATGTGATGCCCGTGAGAAAACACATCCATCACGTTTATCGAAAATATTCATCTTTCATTTTATTTCACACTTATCGAATTATTTTATTATTTATTGATAAATAATGAAAAATATTAAGTTTTTCTTATTGTTAATAAAAATAATACCTCTTTGAGTGACAAGGTTCGCCAACGAGGGCAACGAAACGTTTACGTTCGTTGCCCGGTAGCCAAATACCAGATGAATTGTATTCATAAAAAGATGGTGAGAATATTAACTCCGATGTATTCGATGGAATGCATTTCCTACTTTGACCTTTTTTTAAAATGAATATTTGATCCGTCGGACAACATTTTCCAACTAACGGTAGATCTTTGTAGTCTTCCGGTATAAATGTATCGTTGCGCTGTAAATGAAAGAAAATAAAATATAATATATTTTAAATTAATATTTGAGAAAGTTTTACGACGAATATAATTAATTCACTAGGATATAAATTAAAATTCACGTAGGAAGCGTTTTTACGATAATAAATGTAAATCAATAACGTTTTCGTAATAAAAATTTCATTTAATGTCAAGGTGCATATAGAATTGTGAAAAAAATCGAATTTGTCGGTTCAACTCTTTAGAATTATTATGCGATTAAGTACTATATATACACACACACACACATATATATACCGCATAATTTATGTACTCAGTATTGAGTTAAAATTTTGTAATGAAATAAAAATCAACGTACCAATGATATAGAATGAATGACAGGCATTATACTCTCGACGATAATTAGTCTCGACATTAAAACGAAGAGTAAAGACAAAGATGTTAAGTTGTGCATAATACTGCACAAGTTTCTTTTCGGATTGTTAAGTCGATGCATGTCGAATTTTTTTTCTCTTTCTTTCTTCTTTTTTTTTTTTTTTCTATCAAGAAATACACTCAGAGAGAAATTCGTTCACCTTTCGAACGATTGGCATTAAGAAATCTTAAGAAGACCATTTGTCGTTTATGAATGATTGGCATATTGTTCAAACGATTTTTCTTTTTCTTTTTTTTTCTTTTTTTTTTTTTTTTCTTACAATCAACAATCGACTCGTTTCGTGTTTCTCTCGTCGATTTTTTTTCTTATTCTTCGGTATCTTCCGTTTCACCTTGACATTTTCTTCACTCGACTATCAGTAATACATATTTATGTCAGTTATATTAGATTTTTAAATGGATATATTAATAGACATATTTTCCATTGAATTATTCTTGATTACGACGCTTTCAATAGACGAGCTAAAGTTCTTCGTTTAGTTATACCTTTTCTTGTATCTTTGACAATAATTTAATACACACCTTTTTGATGCACGCGAACAAACTTACCAATCAGATACACTCGAGTTCTCGATATTATCTGACTCGTTCGACGTTGAAAAGTATGCTTATAACGTGCAAATTAATGACTTCATCTTTCCGGTATTTCGAAAAATTCGGCGTGGGCAATCTTCTTAGAATATCAAATTCAGAGAACGTTATTCCTAGAGATGAAAGAGAGAATAGGAATGAATGAATGGCCAATGACTTGGAAATTCTGCTATTTCTTTTCTTGATCACGTAAGCTGTCGTAACAAATCGAAAAAAAGTCTGTCGAGTGTATATAGTAATCCACGAAATACACGTGCCTTTCAGATTTCGCTTTTTTTTCTTCTTTTCTCTTTTTTCCTTTCTTCTTTCTTTTTTATTTTTTTCTTTCTTTTTTTACCGAAATGTTTGCTTTGACTGTGAGTAAGAATTCGGGACGAAGATGAATCGATAGGGATCGAGGGAGCTGTTCTATTGATTTAATCTGTCTTTCGGAAAAGAAAAAAAAGGAAAAAAAAAAAAAATAACAAAAAACCTAATATAACACACGTATTGGATTATGATGTTCGTGTATTAGTTTTCAAATGACTTTTCTTGTATATTTTTGATAAATTTGATCAATCGTAAAAAATAAATATAAGAAGTAAGTGTAATTATTCGCACTTTCTTTCACAATCATAACCATTTCTCACATTATATTCAAATACGTATTTTCGTGAGAGATACTTCCGGTCTATCGAAATTGAATTAACCGATGACGCAGACACAGAACGCGTTAAAGACACCGATTTCATGTAGTTTGCGGATCCACGTCTGCGAAGGCACTGGCCAGACTCCTCAAGACTCTCAAGGTTTTATCGTTTAGTGCTCGAGATCATTTCTACGTATACAAAAAGAGATACCTACACATAGACTTTCTAAGATGATACAATATTAAGTTTGCCGTCATTTCATTTCAAAATTTACAAATCTTTTCTATTATTCTTTCTCTTTACGATCACCATCGACGTTTGCTTTCATTTTGAAGATTTATGCAAGTAATTATGCTTTAACTATAATAAAGCAATGAGCTGGAATATACTAAGAACAACGTAAGTAAGTAGTTCATAGTAATCCTGTCTATTCTATTTTTAAAAAATGTTTCCATTTGAGTTTTTATTGAATAAATATACAATAAAAATTCAAACGCTAACGTTATTTATTTTTTATATTAAAATTTAATTCATTTGATTTTTTTTTTTTTTTTTTTTTTTTTTTTATTATTATTAATAAAGAAAAACAACTTTTCATTAACATTTTTTTAATCATTTTAATATTAGCCAGTGTCAACTCAGGAAATATGAATGCAATGAAGATAATTGATTCGAGAGTTTTAATTTTAATTTATAGACGGGTATATTAGAATACATTAGCGTATTATAATATGTGTTCAAAAAAAAGTTAATTGAGATTAATCATCGTAAAAATGCATCAAAGAATTTTATGCGGTATGATTAAATAATTTTTTTTTAACGAAGTGTTATTCACTAAGCTATTGATAATATTAGAATGTTCTTTTTCTCTTCTTTTTTTGTTTTTTTTTTTTTTTTTTTTTTTAATCTTACTTTTACGAAAAGAATCTTCTCACGTATTATATTATAAAATTCAATTCATAATTTCTTCTAAGATAACAGATATACGTAAAACTCAATAATTTTCAAGAAATAGGAATTTAAATTTTCTTTACATTATATATTCATATTATATTTTGCCGATGTGTGTGTGTGTGTTTTTTTTTATAAAAACTACACACATCGAAAGTTAGAAGCCATTATTACGACGTATTTCTTTCTATTAAATAATATAAATAAATCAATGAATTCTTATAAAAATCGATCATATGCATGTCGACAAATTTGAGATTATTCGTTGAAGATCTAACCTTTTTTCTATTAATTCGCCTGTATAATAGAATTTCAAATCATATTATATCTAATTATCATATTATATCTAATTAATTGTTTTAAATTTAAACCTTATGCATATTACAAGCGAATAAAACCAATGATTAAGCATATATAACAAATAATCTTCATACATGTTACCGTCATATTATCGTTTGATCGTTTAACAAATCTTATCGTTCATTTGTAACTGTAAGAAGATTAAAATTAGGAATATTGATTAGTGATTGGAATCGAAATTATCGATTTTTTATCGAAATTACGAAATTCTTTTATCCTAAACCAAATTAAACCTCTAATTGGTTGACGAAGTACGAAAAGGCTGAATATAAAAACACCATGCAATATATTCACTAGATCCAAAGTTAACCAATCGAAGAAATAAATATTGGTCCACCAAGATATCAATTCCAAGGCCCAAGTTAAGGTCATAAAGAGAAATAATATTATGCAGATCATAAATGTTTTCTTCAAATTATAAAATACCATTTGTTCTTGCCGTACGGATTCTTGATTTATGATTAATCGTCTAAGTGCCAGATCTTTTTGATATCGGCTTATCGTAATTCCCGTTAGGATAAAGAATATTAAATTGATTAGCAAGAGAAATCCAATTGGAACGAAAAAGTATGGCATAGTTTTACTGTCCGCTGAAATAACATACGTATATATATATATATAAGAAATATTTTTAATCGTTATAAAATGTCTTTATGAATTATTATTTAATAAATAATTTCAAAAGAACTTACGTTTAAACCAACAGCTGTCGTTTTCGCTAATGAAGTTTGGCTTTATATATATCGTCGGTATCGTCGGATTTAGATCCATTATTAGTGATACAAGAATAAGAATACCCGAAGATCCCCAAGCCCATATCGAGTAATAAAAAAAGAGTACATTAGGTTTTATTCTTTGATAGGCATCATGATGAACGTGATTTTGTATTAACGACCATGTCTCGATACACATCACGTTCAACCAGAAATAACATGCGACGAACGAGAATTGTACGACGAAGGCTGTAAAAATCGATCGTTTAATAAATTAATTATAAATAAGATAGAAAGGGAGAGAGAGAGAGAGAGAGAGAGAGAGAAAGAGATTATATCGTATTACTCCAAAATGGGAAAAAATAGAGCAATAACTTATGAATCCAAGTTAATTACTGGAACAACATCGTTCGGCTCTCGATCCCTTTGTGAAATCCCGATCTAACTATAATTTAAAATTGATCATTTTCTAAACGTACCAATGGCCATGCACGTATCACTCGTCCAATGTACACCACCGAGTTGTGTAATCGCTAAAATAATAAATGCTAATGCGAGACATCCGCAATAGTGATGAAGTATTTTACCATAAACGTCTCTTAATTTAGGCGTTATCGAATAAGCTACTATGGTCAGGATTAGAAATGATACGGCTATTATAAGTCCGCAGGCATAACAAATTATCTGTGTGCCTGCCATCAATATTTTACTATCTGGAAGAAAAAAAACGAAAAAAAAAAAAAGAAAAAAGCAAAATAAGAAAAGAAAATAAATAAATAAATAAATCGAAACGTGGATTTTTTTTTTTATATCCTTGACAATTTTACAATGTTAGGATATTTATTTTTAATTGGACGTTTCCACATTATTTACCTATAGAAGAGCACACCACAGTAACAAGATTTAACGTTGGTGTTACATCCATGCAATAATTTATACCAGGCATTAGCATGGAATGCTCATATAAAGGAAAATATATCGAGCCATTTCGTAAAAGATAATACGTATCATTTTCCGTATTTATGTCGAAACTGAAAGAATATATTCAAACGATTAACAATCAATTTCAAATTATTAAATATTTAAGATTTAAAAATTTAATACGTCTGATCTATCATATATCCCGATGTGAAATTCTATTTCGTCGGAAATTGTCTTTACAATGATGAAAAATTTATCTCCGGAAAATTCTAATAAAAATTATGATATAATTTGCGTAGATAAATTTTTAGAAATACACCGTATAATGTTTCGCTTAAAATCAATTACGACATGTTTATATCTTTTCTTTTCTGTTGATTATAGATACAATCGAACAAGCAAAGGAAATGATAGTGAAAATTTATTAATTTATTACGTAGAACGAATGAATTATTTTCTTATTTAAATAAAGAACAAAGAAAAAAAGTTTACCTTTCATAACGACAAGGATAACCAATGAGTGCAACAAAACGATTAGCTTCTTCGCCCAAAGACCAAGTACCAGATGAATTGAATTTGCAAAAAAGCGGTGAGAACGATGAGACCGAATAATAGTTCGAAGGGACACATTTTGGGCTTTGATCTTTATTTCGAATTAAAATTTGATCCGTCGAACAACATTTCGCTATCAAAGGTAGATTTTGGTATTCTTTTGGTATAATAATCTCGTTCTTCTGTGAAAGAAGAGGAAAAGAGAAAAAAAAAGGAAAAAGAGAAAAAAAAACAGAAAATAAAAATCATTTCAAACGAATATAAAGGTCTCGAAAATATTGAAAAGTGTTATCTACGAGAATGTACTTATGTAAATCAATAGCAATTTAGTAATTAAAATTTCATTCTTAGGCTTGCGTTATACGTAGAATTGCGAAGAAAATCGAAGTCATCGGTTCGATAACGTATATAGATACTATATACTATTCATTTCATATACCTATCCGGCATTGAATAGAAATTTTTCCAATAAAATAAAAATTAACGTACCAATGTAATAGAATGAATAACGGGCAATAAACCTTCGACGATAATCAATCTCGATATTAAAAGGAGTCTTATAATTAACGGCACCAACGAATACGATGAATTATGCATAATTCTGTAAAAATGTTTTCGTCAAACTTGTAGCTTGATAATCGTCGAATTTCTTTTTCTTATCAAAATATTCACTCGTAGTTGGAAAAGATCATACAATTAGACGATTAATTTAAAGAAAACTTCCTGAAAAAGTTAGCCTACGTTCAACGATGAAAAGCGAAGACTATTATTAGTCGTCTAGTCATAAATCGGTATATTCCTAATCTCTTAATATTTTTCATTCTAGTTAATCGACGTGCCTAGGTATATACATTTTATCTTGTCATCTATGGTGTCCTTTTCTTTTTCTTTCTTGGTATAGTTCCAACCACGTTGTGATACTATCACAGAGATTATCAGCGTGTGCTATTTCCGTATGAACACGCCATTTTTCTTATTAATGTTTTTTTCCTTATTGAACATAAACGCTTCAATAACAAAACTAAATCATTATATATATATATATTTTTTGAAAAAGCAGCTATTTGTCGGTCAAGTATATCTCTTATATATACGCCTCTACGATAATAATTTAACACAGACCTATTCTATATGTATATATGTATATATATATATATATGTATATATATATATATCCGTTCGCATACAGAAACATGGACACAGTCAAATCTCACAGACGAATCATATCAATCATCGTATTAATTAAAAATATTATCTGTTAAGATGCAAGAAAGAATAAATAGTTATCGTATATTTAAACGATCAATTACATATTAATTTTTTCTTCAAAGACACATTGACATTTCGTTTTCGTTTGAGAAACATGACGAAGATCAATAAAACCGTGCGTTCTATAAATCGAATATATCGTTCGAAGATAGGAAGACGACACGTGTACACGATTCGTTTTTAAATACGATTAAACAATACAATTAATGAGAATCGTTCGTAAAAAATAAACACAAAATATTATAATATTTCGATTCTTTTTTAAATTTCCATTAAACTTTTATACATTATTCGCAAACATTCGCTTTGAGAATTTTTCTTAATGATTACGAGCGACAACGCGATAAAGAATATGATTTCGCGTAGTTAACGTTTCCACGATTGGAAAGAAACTGATCACTTTCCTTGAAATCTCTTTGATAAGTTCAATCATTCATGAGATATATAATATATATTAATCTTACGAAAGATGTATATTAAAATAACACGATTTTCTCTTAGATTTTTGTTAAAATTTTTAAATCGTATAAAGTATCGTCCCTTCAATTTTATATCCGATCCTTTTCTAGAAACGTAACATATTTCTTATCTTTCTTTTTTTTTTCTTTGTATTTATTTTTCTTTTTCTCTTTTTTTTTTTTTCTTTTTCATTTTAAGAGAAATATACAGAAATTTGATTTTATCAAAAGATAAAAAGTAATCAAAATATTCAGTGCTTCCAATTGACTCATCTAGTATATATTACGTATGTATATAGCATACGCTAGCATTATTAATTTTATAAGACGTCAAATAAAAGATCTCCCACTATGTTTTCATAAAATGTCACGCGCACTTTCCACCCACGTCACACGTTTAAGCGTTCATCTAGATCTTTTATGTTAAATCCTTTTTTGCGTTGTCTTTTTAGCTACGTTTCTTTGTTTTCTCTCTTTCTCGCTCTCTCTCTCTCTCTCTCTCTCTCTCGGTATCAATTGTAAGAATCAATACTTTCAAAGTATTCAAATGGTTGCTGTGGTATCAAGAAGGAAAAAAAATTCCCGCATTCAGGAAAAAACCTTGATTATCATCGAGCATACCACAAGTTTATTTTCAATAATCACATTTTTCTTTCTTGCGTCTTTTTTTTCTTTTTCTTTTTTTTAGAATGAATTTATAATCTTGGTGCAGCTAGAAGAACCCGTTCATTTGTGACTAGTTTATAAACGTAATCGTTTATATATATATATGCAATAATTACATTTTCTTTTATAGACCGAAGTTGTAACCTCGGTAAAGCACAAAAATCCATTTATTTGTGACTTGTTTATAACTTAACCATTAACAACACTTTTGAAAAATGTTTAAACTTCGACGTAAATTTTTAATATTTATTTTACACTTGACCAAGAATATTAATCATTCTCCGCGTATATTTAAAGAGTCACTACGTTTACTAGTTTATTATCATCATTCGACTTAATCTTCATAGATCTCTACAAACGTTGGAAATTTGTTCCGCGTTTGCATACTTTTCGTTGTCTATACAAAAAAAAAATAAAAACTTCGATATACAGAATGTTTGTTGTAAACAAAAATTTCGATAATCCTTAGAAAAATATGTTACGATTGGATAATTGATCGATTATTTCTTCATCTAAGAAAAAAAAAAGAAGAAGAAGAAAACAAAGAGAAAAAAAAATTAGATTGAAAATAATTTTCAGATCATTGAATTTTTACGCAAATAAATTTACTATATCTATATAATTTTGTTTAACCTGAAATTGTTGATCGTTCCTAAATGTATATAATTTTCTCTCTCTTTCTCTTTCTCTCTCTATTTCACTCTGACGCATAAGTTTAAGAAATAAATATTAAGACAGTTCCAAAATATTTTCGGATCGAAATAACTTCTGTATTACACCTCTTTCTCTGAATCGAGTTCGTTGAACACTTCAAACCAAAGTATTCCAAGACTTGATTTCGAAGCTAACAAAAACATTCTACAATAAATTTAACCATATGATTAAAAACACCGATCAAACGTGTTGCTGTGAAAATTGTGGAAAATATCGTTTATGCGAATCCGAATTCGGGCGCAATTCTTGACAGATTTTAATGAACGAGTTTTCGTTTTAAACAAAAACTGCACTTTTTCAAATTACGAAAAAGATCTTTCGTACTATCTTTTTAATTTCTAAACTGTATTTTTGAAGAGACAGTATTTTTTTGGAGATGATTTTTTTTTGTCAAAAAAATAAACCTTATATATCAAAAATATAATTAAAAAAGAAAAGAAATTTAAAGAATTGTTCTTGAATGTTTTCATGGAATAAGCAATTATGAAACAAGGAGCGATGAATAGCTTCAATTTGTGTATTATTTCTAAAAGCCAAACATATATTTAGATCTATAAATTAGTATATATATATATATAAAGACTATATAACAAAACGAATTGAAAGGCAGAGAGGTTAAGCTATGATGACTTGAATACTTGAAAATCAAATGAGTCGACATTCGCTGACGTAAACCATTGTTTTCAGAATTACTGGTAGTTTTCCTATGGAAAATAAAAGTTACGATTGAATTTCATAAGAATATTTTTAATTTGTTCCATTTTATTTTGCAAAAATATATATATATATATATATATATATATATATATATATATATATAGAGAGAGAGAGAGAGAGAGAGAGAGAGAGAGACAAAATAAATAATTTTTTTTTAACGATGCCCTTAAAAAAAAGATACGTTTCATCTCAAATATTTCCTTTTCAATTATTAGAATTATGTATCATACAAATTTGGATAAAATCGACATTTTTCGAAAAAGTATTCGTTTAAATGCAGACAATAAATTTTCTTTTTAAATTTGAATTGTCTAAGAATATTTACAAATATAAAATCCGATTAATCGTAAAATGTTTCTCGTTTTTTTTTTTCTCTTTAATATTCTCATGGATTCGATCAACTTATACTTTCCTCTCGTACGTTTTTGCGCGGCTTTTGAAATTTTGAAAATTGTCTCTTAAGAATATAAGTCCGCTCTCTAGGATAAAATGTAGCAAACTTTAAAGTTTTATCGATCGGTAATACAGAGCTCTCCTATGTTTTATTAAATATATACTTTAATAAATTGAACTTTTAAAGATTTCCATTGATCAAATTGAAAATAATATAAATATATGTGAAATATTATTTATTGTAATTTCTCCTATCTTAATTTATACGATTATCAATATATCTATCTAACAATGTATTTCGATTTCAAAAAATGCTAATATATTCAAATGTCTTTGATAAGGAGTGAATAAAAACCGCATGGTAACTGTATAATCATTGCTTTGGTGTATCCTATATCACTATCCAGATACACTCTTGTGATTCCTTACGCCAACTCCCTCGGATTACCTGATGGAAGCCATGTAACCGACTTTATCACTACCAACTTAAGTTAGATAGCCGGAAACATTGATTTTCGGAAGGAACAGAGAAAAAGAGAGAAAGAGAGAGAGAGAGAGGGAGAGAAAGAGAGGAAGAATAAAAAAAAAATATTTTAACGTTTCCCCATTAATTACATTAGGCCGACAGAATTGATCAATTCGAATTATCCAATATGGATAAAAAATAAATGAAAAAAAAGAAGATAAAAAAAAAAGAATAAAAAAAGAATCTTTCCGAATCAATCAATTTAGCCAGTAACTATATAGATCTTGTTGTTTAAACGAACAACAAGATTTTTTTCCCCATCTTTCATTTTTCTTTTCTTTTCTTTTTTCTTCTTCTTTTTTTCGTAAAATTGTCGTACGAAGGAATCATATTGGCCTTGTTAAGAAGAAAATTGTCGCGAGTATCGCGCGAATCTCTTGGGTCTTGCGGTGACGTCTCCCTTCTACGTAAAGTACATTCGTTCAATGGCGGACGAAGTCCACGTGACCTTGTGCGGCTCACCTCGCGGCCCCCACGAACACCGCGAATGCGTAGAAGGAAAAGAAAATAAGAAAAAAAAAAAAAGGAAGGAAAAAGAAGAAAAATACTACAAAAAAGAAAAAAAATCAAAAAAAAAAAAAAGAAACGAGTAAGAAGAAGAAGAAGAAAAAGAGAAGAAGAGAAAGAAGAAAAAGAGAAATAATAATAATAAGAAGAAGAAGAAGAAGTAATAGAAAGAGAATCGTCACGACGTTGAGGGCGACGATGATGATGAGGAGAACGAGGACGTAACGTTTTCGTTGACGAAAAATGGAAAAGGCGGAAGTATGAAATTGGATTGAAAGTATGAACCGGTATCGACGTTATTGTAGCCGTATTGGAAATGCGGATTGCATTTCGATCAATTTTCGTCTTTCTCTCTTTCTCTCTCTCTCTCTCTCTCTCTCTCTCTCTCTCTATTAATTTTTCCCCCTTCACAATTTAATCAATTAATTAAAATATATATCTCCTTTGCTTTATACCACGATATTTCGTATTCCGCAGATTCCCCTAACATTTGCAATATTCGGTATTTTCATTTTTTTTTCCTGTATGAGGACATAGGGTGAGTTCGTTAAGCCACTTAATGCGTTTCTACGTGATTAAACCTCCCTTTTTCTTTCTTCGTCTCTTTCTCTCTTTCTCTCTCTCTCTCTCTTTCTCACTCTCTCTTTATCTTTTTCAAACAAATAAACTAGTTACGAAGACACATTAACACGACTATCCTAGAGTCGTGACGCAGTAAATGTAAAATCGGTATAAAAGTGCCAGCACGACCGACAATCTTTTACTTTTTTTTTTTTCATTGTGGCATTAGCAAGAGCCGTATTGTACGGATGCTATTCGTGTAAGTAAGATACGTGTAGACGACGCCATAATAGAATCATTTCTGATACGCTTTATTTTATATTTATTTTCTTTTCTTTTTTTTCTTTTCATTTCTTTTCTTTTTTTTCTTTCTTTTTTCCTTTTTTTTCTTTCCTTTCTTTTTTTCTTTTCTTTTCTCTTTCTTCTTCCATCATACAAAAAAGATTATACGATTGTAAGAGATACGATATGATACGTTTCAGATACGAATGGTAATAACAAAATCATCCAAACATGGTACGCCGTTTGACGCCGTTATAATTGAATTTACCTTCGGTGTATATACGATGTATATACGTGTACGTATATACGAGTATGCATATATACAGGTTGTATTTCCCCTCCCCCCGATATCCTCACTCTCTCTCTCTCTCTCTCTTGCTCTCTCTCTTACTCTTTCGCTCTGTATTACCTCTCCTTCCTTCCTCTCTTCTCTTTCTCATCACCAGTCTCTCTCTCTCTCTCTCTCTCTCTCTCTCTCTCTTACACACACTCACTCGCTCGCTCGCTTGCTCACTCACTCACTCTTTATCTATCTCTACTCCTCCTATTCGGCTCATTCCATGGTCGGTGCTCCGGTCGTGAGCAGCCGGCTCGGAGTAAGGGGTAAGAGTATACAGTATCGACCCAAGACATTTCGTCGCCTTGAGGATATATCAAGCGGAATTTTCCATCGACATAACGATCTCAGCTAGGCTTTGTTTTTCTAAAACAAAAAATTAATTATAACGTTTCTTCAACTAATATATATAAAAAAAGAAAAAAACTAAGTTTAATTATTACGGTATGTATTAATTTACATTGTCATTAATTTATATTCTTAAATTAATTATTTCGATGAAAATGTATTGGAAGCGCGACCGGTAGTTTATTTATGAATAAACAAAACAAGTCTCGATACTTTCTCGTTTACATAAGTCGATTAATATTAAAAAACCGTATAATGTCTGAATGAATAATTTCTTTCGATTACGGAAGATGAATGAACAAATGAAATTGATTTATTAATGTATCAGATATATTCATTGATTTTATCATTTAAAGTTATTAAAAAGTTTTGAACAAATTTAAGAATTCTTCTTTTTTCTTGGTGATTTTTAACAGTTAACAAGTTCGATTGTAATTTGAATAGGGAGCGGAAAAAAAAGGAAGAAACGAGGTACCGGGAATAGAGACGTCCCTGTATCACGATCCCGCGGAGCGGGGGTGGTGGTAGTGGTAGTGATGGTGGCGGCGGCGGCGGCGACTGTGGTGGTGGTGGTGGTGGTGGTGGTGGTGGTGAGGAAGGCAACAAGGAGGCACAGCCAGTAGCTCCCAGGCAGTGAGACCGCGCGTAACGATGTATAACCGGCATCCGTGCGTCCCACGGCGTTATGTCATAGATGACAATCCATCGACGTGAAATTTTTAATATGTCTTTGATATCGGAACTCAAGGTCAAGGATAACGTGAGTGTTTTAAACCTAAATTATATCTTAGAGTACGAACGAGCACTTGACACTACGCCGTGCGGATCGAATACGTACCGTTTCACGCCAAAGTATTTTCTTTCAGGTATACAAGAGGAGTCGAAAAAACCGTATTTAGAATATTTCACATAAATTATTTGGGTATTTAGTACCTGGTATTATTCAGTGTCGAGTAACGAGCTACCTTTCTTGCTGCTATTACCTGCATCGTAGGTAGAAGAAGAGGAAGAAGAGCTTGGGCTGAGGTGAATTGGTCGAACACAGTGCTGCCAGTTGCAAGCTCTTTCTCTGTCTCTCTCTCTCTTTCTCTGTCTCTCTCTCTCCCTCTCTCTCTCTCTCTCTCTCTCTCTCTCTTACTATCTGTCTGTCCTTCTCTTTCTATCTATCTCTATCTCTCGCTATCTCCCTCTCGCTCGCTCGCTCGCTCGCTCGCTCGTTCGTTCGCTCACGCTCCATCTATCTATCTCTCTCAACGGAGTCGACGCCGAAAGCTCGATGCAAATCGACGCCGTTGAATCTCTTCGATGAAGATCGACGTTAGCGTCGGTGGTTTTCCTTCTCTCTATTTCCCCTCTCTGTGTCTACGTGTCACGGTTCGATAGCCAGATGAACGTCGCCGACCCCAGCAGCATCATCAGCGTTGGCGTGTACCTGGAGAGTATAGGAAGTACGTCCTCTGAAACGGTCGACCGCTCTGCTACCGGATGTCAACGAACTCCTCGTAAAGAAGAAGCTTTCTCGTGCATGGCAGAGAAAGAGCTGAATTTTTACGACGACGCTAAAGCTATTCCTAATTTTTTCGATGGGGACGATAGTTTTGGTAACACGACGATACGATCTTACTCTATATCATCGCAGCTACGAAAGAGCTGATTCGATCGAAAATCAATGATCGGTCATTGACTTTCGCACATGCGGCTTTCGATGTCCGTGAACGACGAACGATTGGTACGAGAAGTGTAAATCGATGTCCAGCTGACGGATGCGCGCGATGCGATTGGTGAACGAATGTTCAGGGGAATGTCATCGTTCGAAGCTACAAACAAGTACGTTTACCAAGTATGCGATATGCGACGATTTAAACTCTTATGATACGTATTTCATACGATAGATGTCCTCTGATATAATAAAAACTATTCAAGGAAGATTTCCACGTAAGGTTGTGCGACGTTGAAACTCTGACGTTTGCCAGATAAAAGAAAGCAGATTCGAAGTACCTGTAAAAGTGCACCAGGAACATAGTACGATTATCTTTCGAAGAAAAGAGGCAAAGGAAAGAAAGGGGGAGAGGGAGAGGGAGGGAGAGGGAGAGGGAGAGAGAGAGAGAGAGAAAGAGAGAGAGAGAGATTGGATTAGACGCTAAGCGATTTTAAGACAAGGCTAATAACGGTAGAATACTGGTGAGTTTTAGTCAACATTTGCTGGACGAGTGGCGGGATAACCACCGTTCTTTGCATGGAGTGATGAGCGGGGCCCCTGCACGGGGCACAGTGCCCCGACGTCAAAGACGCCATCATCATCATCATCATCATCATCATCATCATCATCAGAAACATCCAAAACACGCTCGAAAGGAGCCTTCCGAGGAACCGGAAGAAAAACGGCCAAAGGTCAATCCGATATTCCTTTGGGCCTCTCAAAGGGAACAGAGAATAGTCGAGGTTAGATGTGAGGATTACGACAAGAGAAATCGTATAAAATTAACGAAAACCGCGCAAGGATGGCGTTCGATACCGAGAACGACATCGAACATGTATTCTACCGGTCTTGGTGCAAATCAAGAAAAGAAGACTACACCGGCGTGTACGTCTTCGAGTTCGAGTTTGAACGAAGAGAAAGAAAATGGCAAGACCGTAACCGCAATTATCAGAGATAATAATTTAATAGATAAGGGTAAGAAACGCAGGTACGAAGATTTTTTAAAGGACAAGAAATATTCACCGGATTATTTCCCATTGGAGAATCTCCAAAATGGAGTCCGAGTTATGGCGGATTGGGAAAGGAATCGAAGAAGGGCCTCTTGTTCGGAGGATGAGGAGGAGGATGAGGAGGAGGAAGAGGAGGAGGAGGAGGAGGAGGATGATGATAGCGACGAGCAGGATGACAATGAAGACAATGGAAGAAAAAAGGATGACAGCTCCTTTACTTTGGATACTACGAATGATTGTATAAAGGCGAACGGTAAAAGCAATCTCGAGAGATTGCAAAAAGACGTACACTTTCAACCGCGAGTGGTCCTAGAACATCTTCACTTATCTCAGCTACCCGATCATCACCATCATATTTTGTTACGAACGGACGATAAAATCGTTGACGATCCCAAGGATGCCGGCGATAATTCCAACGATAACGAGAAGGATAGAGAAGAGGACGAAGAACCGAATAACGAAAGACAAAATGAGGATATCGGTGGGGAAGATGAGGATGAAGATGAGGACGACGACGACGACGACGGCGACGACGACGACGACGATGACGACGACGACGACGTCGACGACGACAACAACGAGGAAGAGGAAGAGGAGGAAGAGATTAATGATGATAACAAAAAATGTCGAGGAAATAAGGAGGGTATTCAAGACATATTAAATATGATAGATGCCACAGCCTCACCCGTTTTAGCAACCGACACGCCCAATGCCGATTTACCAATGCACTCTACGAAAACTTTCGAATTAGTTTTGAGTGAAAACGTATATCAAAAAAAGATTAGCGATAAGAAGAATAAAGACTTAGATCCTGCCTTACCTAATTCAGTTAAAGGTAAATCAAGGACAGATTTTATATCCAATTATCAAAAGGAAAATGTTGAAAATAACGATAATATTAATGATTGTGATCAATTGGAGGTACACGAGGAAAAGATACTCGAACGTTGCAATTCGAACATCGACGAAAAAAAGAGTCACGTATCGAAGGAGTCTACTTTTGTCGATTGCAAAAATAATGTCGATGTGAAATCTTGCAAAGTGGTAGAAGCTGACGGTGGTATTAGTCGTTCCAAGTCCGAACCCAATCCTCTTCACAAATGGAAAAATAGCTTGGCTATGAACGTATCCGAAGTAGACGAGGAAGCACCCGATGAACCAACGAAGATAGATTACAGTAGCAGTTCAAAGATTTTGAAAGCTCTCAGAAATACTCCAGGACTTTCGGTTTCGATTACGACGGCCCATCCCCAAGAGGGAACGAAAAATTCAATCGTACCTTCCTCCAGGCCGTCTTCGAAAAGTTCTTCGTCAAGCAGATCGCCCGATTCTCAGGCAGAAAATGTAGAAAAACTTTTGAAAGGTTCCATGATCGATTATTCGTCAACGAAATCGTTCGATGCCCGTGGTCAAGTATTAAATTTACCTCGAAACCTTCCGGGCTTGTCGATCGTCATACCAAATTATCGTTATCGCAACGTATCCAATTCGCAGTCAACGACGAATACGACGTCTCCAAAAACGAAGGACAGGGTGGAATCGCCAGAAAGTACCGTCAATTTTCCAAAAACTGACTTCCCGCACGAGGAGGAGGATGAGAGGGATCTCGAGGACGACGAAGATGATTACGATTCTCAAGTTTTAGAAGATCTTAGAAGACAAAAGGCCGATTCTTTGGTTTACGATAGCGTCGATAGTGGCTGTTTTCGCAGATCGAATTCTAGGAATAATCAGGATGACAGAAACACTCCCATAGAAAGTATTAAGGATCGTACGGACGGTGCATGGAACAGTTCCGGTCGAAGTAGCGAAGCTCAGGCAAAGTGTAAGTATCAGGATGTGGAACACTTTGACGAGCAAGTACTTGAGGAACTTAGATCTCGCGGTACAGTAGTTTCGCCCCAACCTAGTGGTATCCCATGTTCGCCTGCCTCCAAAAGGCCTTCCTCGGCGTACTTGGAAAGACTATTACCCAGCCCACCTTGTTCGGTGTCCTGTTCGGAGGATGCGAAGAACGATTTGACCTTAAAGGGTATTTTGTCGTCGCCAAGTTGTCTGGAAAATAAAGATTATGATAAGAACAGGGAAACTACGTCAAATCGATGCGAGCCTGTAACCAACGAATATATGACTAGTCGGTCGGATTATTCCAAAGATAACGAAAAATCGAATGGTGGTACGCGTAGAACGGTACGAACCTTCCACGAGCATTCGAACGTTCAGAATCAGGATATAAAGAATACCAATGGAAGGCCAATGTCGAGCGGTGATATTCATAGTACATTCTTAATAAGCGATCGTACTGCGTTAAAGAAGCCTATGTCGACCGAATGGGCGATTAATCGGCTAAGAAAACAGGCTGGTTATCATAAAATTTTAGTACGATCCAGGATGCAATCGGCTGAATATCAAGAAGCTTACGCGACGTCTACTAGTACGGACAAACTCTTGGATCCAGCCAGTCAACTCAGAGAACTGATAGAAACGTCCGGTCATTTAATACCTGATCCCCTTTTAGTACCACGTGACTATCTTCCAGCTTTGGCCGCGGCACCGGCTACCGAAATTCCAAAACTTTTAACCTCGAGACCGGAATTAAGATTACCAGAAGCATTAACAAGGCCGGATCTATTAAGAGATCCAGATTTATTAGTGATATCCTTGACTCATCTACAACATGTGCTCGATCACGGAGAAGGTCCTGTCTCCAGGTCACGACAATTCCAATCCAGGATCGGCAATGGCGTTAACAAAGGATCAAGTCACGTTAATCACAATGGTATCAGGAACGGTACGCAAATAAGGCCCAAGCTTAGTTGCAAGCCTATCGGCACGCTGATGCCGGCGCCTATCGATCTCTCTAGCAATCGCCGCTCCAGCCCTTATCCGCCATTACTTAGGGTACGAACTGGATT